AGCGTTGTGGCTTATCACGTGGAAATGTATAGCAGCCAAACTCTAAATGCTAGTTGATTCTGAATGTGGAGGGAAAACCCGGAGACCTGGAGAAGAACCCACTTGACCAAATGTACAGGCGTCAGGGTCGGGGTCGAACCCATGACCTGGCAGGGTAGTTACCATCTCGCCACCGTGGCGCCCCCTAACCAGGCTAACCAAGCCCAAACTCTGCTTAGCTTCCAGGATATGATGGGCGCAGGGGTGCATAGGTCGAAAGCAATGTTAACGTTCATTTAAAGCCACGTCAGAAACTAAAAACCACTCCATTGGAAACCTCATTTGCCAGTAACAAAATATGATAATTGTTTTTTTACCCTTTTATCTGGCAACAAAACGCCACCTTTTTTTTACAAGGAGTCATGTTTACATTGACCACAATACCTGCGGTCGGAACGCAAACAAAAAACTACAACTCTGATAATGTATGTGGCACTGTCCTTGAAATTGATTGGTCCACACCCGAGACAGCTTTCTTTAGAGCCTCGTCTCACATGGTGTTGGACCAGAAGACGCCAAAAGGCGCACAACTCAAAGACAATGCACCATCAGAGTATGAGAGCTCGGGGTAAGCATTTACACCATTGGAAACCTCATTTGCCTAACAAAATATGACAATTGGTTTTTTACCCTTTTATCTGGCAACAAAACTGACACCTTTTTTACAAGGAGTCATGTTTACATTGACCACAATACCTGCGGTCGGAACGCAAAACCACTCGTCATTACGGTTGAGATTCATACTTAATATCTAAACAATCGTGGGTAATCTTGGTGAGGTCTTTCCTTGGCTGTGATTGTTTAGATAATAAGACCACTCTCGTATTTTATTTCTTAATTGTTGCACCTCTTCTCTTTTTGGTCTCTTGCGTCGTTAACTCGCTCCCCTCCTCTTCGCTGTGATTGTTTACATTCTTCCCTTTCCTTTCCCTTCATGTTACCTCGTTCCCACTCTCAGCACCGAAGACCGGAGGTATGGTATTTCACATGCAGCATGTCTGATTAAATTCCTAATCCTTTCTCACCGTGTGTGGTGCGCGTGCGTGCGTGTCTGTGGGTCTGCATGTCTTTCTCTTTGTTGTGCGAGCGTGGCGCGCCGGCCACCCACCCTTTCGTGTGCCGTGCCAGCCCTCATAGGTGCTGATCGCTAACGGCATCTTGCCCCAAAAACCTGTTGAGGCTATACGGGGGGATCTTTGTCTTTGTGTGCCCTAACACGGTGAGCCGTGGAGTCGTTGAGCGTCGTGAAATGCTTTGATTATAACCGTTAATTACTTAAGAGTGTGTATGAGAGGCAGTAGGGTGTGCACGTGTCTTCATACTGGGCGAACACCATTGATTCGCAGTGGCCAGTTCTTGTGAATTATATAAAATCCACTTTACTTTCTTCTTTATCATCACCACCATCAGCCACGATCTTATCCACTGCTGGACAAAGGCCTCCACGAGCCGGCACGGCTATCTTTCGTATCACGATGGAGCGATCCATCGAGCACCCGCACACTTATCTGATTTTAGTCGCTCCATCTCGGCAGCGGGCATACTCTCTCTCGGGGGGTGCCCCATCGTTTGGCTGCCAATCTATCATTGTGCAGTGACTAACTCGGAGACGCTCAAAGTTGGAGGCACTTATTTTATTTAACCGAGCACTCTTTGCACAAACACACACCCTACGCTGGTATACACTCCTCTGTCGCTCGCTTATACACAACTCTACGTGGGTCGCTAGCCTATACACAATGCTAGCCTATACACAATGCTAGCCTATACACAACGCTAGCCTATACACAACGCTGGCCTATACACAACGCTAGCCTATACACAACGCTAGCCTATACACAACGATAGCCTATAGACAACGCTGGCCTATACACAACGCTGGCCTATACACAATGCTAGCCTATACACAACGCTAGCCTATACACAACGCTAGCCTATACACAACGCTAGCCTATACACAACGCTAGCCTATACACAATGCTAGCCTATACACAACGCTAGCCTATACACAACGCTAGCCTATACACAATGCTAGCCTATACACAATGCTAGCCTATACACGACGCTGGCCTATACACAACACTGGCCTATACACAACGCTATCCCTATACACAACGCTACCTTATACACAACGCTACCTTATACACAACGCTGGCCTATACACAATGCTGGCCTATACACAACGCTGGCCTATACACAACGCTGGCCTATACACAACGCTGGCCTATACACAACGCTAGCCTATACACAACGCTAGCCTATACACAACGCTAGCCTATACACAACGCTGGCCTATACACAACACTAGCCTATACACAATGCTAGCCGTCTAACACTGACGGCGCTGAACCGAGACAGCCAGCTAGCGTCTAGCAGTGCAATGTCGAGTGAAGACGACAGCAACGAAAGTGACGATCTTCAACAGCACGACGGGGATCCCACTCCATACGACAGCCCCGAGCTCTCGCTCAGGGGCCCCTTTTATGCTCCCAGCTTGGAATCGCTCCGCCCCGGCCACGCCCCCTCTTTAGAACCTACCAGCGGGTTCCCGGGGCCTCCCTCATGTGCCCCTTCTGTAACCTTTCTCCCAGATATCCCCTCCGGTGTATCACGTGGCCTGCTGACGTCAGGGCTGCTGTAAGCCGCAGATCCCCTTCCCCACCAGCAGCCAGCGCTATGCTGCTGCATTAATTATTCTATGCCACTACAATTGCGATGTCGTTCACATCTCAGAGCCAGGGCCCTTCAGACGACAGTCAAGCGATATATATTTCTTTAATTGTCAGAGAGCTGGAATTAAGCCAAATTAAGTGCAGAACCCAATATGACGTGATGGTGTTTTGCCGATCACGCTGAGATCATAACCTCCACTGCACTTGAGAAAGTGCAGTAGCGGCTGAAATCCATGGATTCGAACCCAGGATCTGAGTGGCGCCGGCTATAGCGCTGTGACCAAGGCCACCTCTTCCAGCCACAGTCGTGAAGTCTGCAGCGCAAATTCCACCACCCACCACCGAACCAGCCAGACCTCGTGCCAGCATTGGGCAACCTCTCGGTGTTTTCTACTTCCTCCAGCGCCGAACAAACCTGCTGGGTTCGTTCGCACGAGGTCTCGGATTCGCACGGTTGCATCGAGTAGACAACGAGCCAAGAACTGTTATGTTCATCGTGATAATGATGCTGACAATGTGCGGGGGGGGGGGTGGGTGGGGGGCGTGTACGCTCTCGGTACATTCGGCATGAAATACTCGCGTGAACCGTGGCTGCCGATGGTTATCGTGCTGCTGGCTGTCACCGCGAGTGGCGTGGAACGACCGTTTTGTTGTCGGACTAACAACAGCCTGCAGTGAGAAGAGTAGCACGATGTTGTTCTCATGCGCTTGTGCGTGCGCGTATTTTGGAACTTTGAACGTCTTACCCCCGATTGTAAGGTCGAACGAAAGCTTGAATGAGCAATCGGCTCCGTGCGTCTGTCCGTTAACGACGATCCAGTGTGAACGGGAAAAACTCTCAAGGCCTTCCGTGTCAATTAGAAGCGCGTGGCCTTTAAAACTACTTTTATTTAAATAGGTGACGTTTCGGGCAATGGCCCTTCTTCATGGCACATAAATGGAGAGGGGGCCCAGTAGAAAGAGTGGACGATACGAGTTGGAGACTGCACTTGTTTACACCATGGGGCCTGATGAGAATTCAATGTAAATAAAACATTCTGATAGGCAGGGCTGTTGGTCGAAACGTTGCCTCTTGTATATTTATCATTTTAAGGCCACAGTGTTAGTTAACGAATGTGTTTTTGTTAAGTGTGCCTTGTGCACCACTAGCCAACAACAGCAGCAGCAACAACGTCAACTCATTTGTTAAAATGTGAACACAACTCGGCCATAAATTTGTGTGGCTATTATGCTATAGAAATCAAGCCACATTTGTTCACATGATAGAACCCAACACTTGGAGAACATCAGAGACTACCTGCAAATATCCACGCAACTTTCTTTTTGCCAGGACAGCTGCCCATCCCCTTTCCTGCTGCCGATTTCTTTTCCCCGGCTAATCCAGAATTACGACGCCATCGTCAACGCCCGCATTCACGATGTTTTTTTAGTCCCGAGCTCGCGAACATTGGAAGGTTTCTTTGGTTTTCTTGAAATGCCATATTGCATTGAATTGTCACACATATATAGGTGACAGTGGCATGACTCGGAAATAGCAGGGCTGTTACTTTACCCGTCCACGGGTGGCGACTGTGGCCGTATGGGATCGCGTTTGCCACCTGACGCAGGGGTTTGCGCTTCAATCCCACCAAACACCCTGGTTAATACTACAGGGGCAGCCGCCTTTAGGGGATCCCCGAGGCTGAAATAATTAAATTGCAGCTGGGCACTGCAATTATGTGATGATGTGAGGCTCCTTATATGTATGTACTGTATGTTGAACTTCTTTCACACTCTGGATAGCCAGCAGTGCTAATCGATGGTGCGGGATGGTGGGGCGTTTTAAGCGCCCATTAAATAATTTAAACTCGTAACGCTGCTCCACCGCCACGCAGCATTCGCTCACTCGCACGCTCTCGAAGAGAGAGAGAGATAGGGGACGACTCAGATGCGCGAGCAACTGCAGACGAGCAGAAAGTCAGAAAATCCCCACTCACCCGCAACCTCCAAGTTCTGTGGTCCTCTGTGTATTAAGATATTTTCATCCAACTAATGAGTGTTAACACGTGGGAGGAAACCCACGGACGCACGCGTGCGCGAGAGGGGGCAACACTTTATCCCATCCACGTTGGAACAGGTTGGGGGATCCACACTCAGTGTACTGCCTTTTTTTTCTTCCCCCCAGGCGAAACAAGTGAAGGCTGGATCAGAGGCCACGTGCAACGCCGCCGCCTGGCTAAAAACGCAAAACCCACTTAACCCCCCGTTGTCCGTATCCCTGTTTTGTCGCCCCGTCCGTCGTCACCGCAGGCACGGAAGCACCTGAACGACCTCTACGAGGATCTCCGCGATGGCCACAACCTCATCTCCCTGCTGGAGGTTCTGTCCAACGAGACGCTGGTACGCGAGCGGCGGGGAATGCGGTGCATGGAAGGAGGCCTGTTGCGCATGACCGGCGTTAGCTGCTCAAACGCGATTCACTTTGGTCGGCGCAGCGAACGCTCGGTGGCCGTGACCAGGAGTCGAACTTGGACTCTGTAAAAACCCAACCCCCCCCCCGACTCCCGCCACCCCTTCCTCCCATCCCACCCCCGCCCCACCGACTGACTCATTGGTATTCGAAGAATTCCACTTCTAATCATATTTTCGCGCCAGCGTCGATTTATTTTGGGTCCATGATTCGGAACGTTTGTCGCACGTGCACATTTTTCTCGTGACATGTTCAGAAAGTCCTGTGGTAGTATTTATTATTATATCATCATCATTATTATTGTCTAAGACGTAATTCCACACAGCATCCCAGCTTATCAGTGTTCCTTTGCAAAGACAGCATCGCATTTTTACTTTAATTACCAATCTCAACTTTCCTTTGTGCTGTTCATAAGTCTGTTGTTTCTGTTTTCTGCGAATTTTTTTGTACCTTGTTTTACTGCTTTCATCCTGTTCTCTCTTCCTCTCTCTCTCTCTCGCCCCCAACCCAAAATGTCCCCTCCTTATGTTATGCCTTTTTTTTATTTCTGCATTTTTGCTATCTTTCCTAAAATACATCCCATCTTTTCCGTTCACCCTGTCTGTGGTGCGTCTAACCCTCCCGACATTATATTTATTTTAATATTTTCTTCATTTTATCCGAACTCTCCCAAACTGCACCTTTCCCTTGGCTCCCTGCCCGCCGGCTTCCCCACAAATCCCCAAAACTTCACCTTTTGATCCTGACTGGTCCTGACCTTTGACCCCGACCGCCCCTGGCTTGCTATTGGCCGGGCAGCCCCGTGAACGCGATGTGATGCGCAGCTTGCGGTTGGTGAGTGGCTCAGCCTGTGTCTGCGCCGAGCATGACGGGAATGATGCTGAGAAGGGGGTACGTTGGCCGCGCATTAATGTGGTACCATTTAACATCCACAACAGTCAACGCTTTCATTATAATAATCATTAGCATACCATAACATTGATATTACCGTATTCTCTGGATTAAAAGGCACACCGGCGAAATATCTGCGTGTAAATACGACGCAGGCAACTGCACGGGAGCGTTTAGAATCAATGTGCCTTCAGAGTACTTGGCTGCTTTGAATTTTCACAAAATGATAAGACACCTTCGTTGATGATCATTTGTGGCCAGGTGGCTTCTGAAAAAGTGCTATGCAGCTTAGTTGGCCCTTGCCTGGTAAAATAAAATAAAAAAATAGTTCTATTTAATAACACCGTGGCCTTACTAAGAAAGAGAATATAAGAGGCGACGTTTCGAGCAATGACCCTTCTTCACTGCACAATTTAAAAAAAGGATACCGTTTATAATGCAGTGCTTATGGTAATAACATTAATATGGAGAATACGGTAATGACAGTAATAACAACAACATTCATATCTATTAAGGCCCTGGATTTTTTTTCAGTGTGTGAAAAAAATTCACTTTGCGTCTGCTGCAAAATCTTTTTTTTTGCACGTCAACTAACAGAAACGTAGTCTGTAATCACTTTTCTTTTGAGTGGTGTGAAAATTCATAACATCAGTGGATGAAATGTGAGGATTAGCAGCGTTAAATGACCTTACGTTTCACATATTGTCCGAATCGCCCTGAAAGCTCTCAAATGTCATTTGTTCTAAGGAAGCTAAGGCGGATTTAGCCTGGTCGGTGCATGAATGGGAGTCTGCTCAGGAATATCAGGTTTTGCAGACTTGGGCCTTGAGATTGTGCGATGGCAGAACAGAGATGTATCTGCCTCGCCTGATATACAGGAGGTTGTGGGGTCGATCCTGACCCTGATGACGCCTGCTGTATATTTGGATTTTGCTTGTCTCTCTCTCCCTGTGGTCGTGCGGATTTTTCTCCGCGTCCTCCGGTTTTTCCCTCCACATTTAGAATCAACGTGTGTTGCCAGGTCGCTTCTGAAAAAGAGCTTTGTAGCTCAGTGGGCCTTGCCTGGTAAACTTATAAATAGTTTCGTTTGTGTTTAGTTTCGTGATTGAATTTGAAAGCTTGTTTGGACAGTCATAAGAAATCCTGGGCCCTAATAACAACGACGATTGCATTACAGTAACAAATCGTGAACACTTTAACTTGCATCCCTAATAGGTTGCGCACAAGGTTGGAGGTGGTCGCGAGTGTGGCTTCATTTCTCATCCCACCCCCGCCCCCCCCCCCCCCGAGTAATTTCCGGGTCGCCGCTAGCCTGGAGTAGTGGGCGACGCGTGGACTCCTTCCTAAGCCACAGAAGTGCAAGCACTCGATACGGCGTTGCCGGGTGTAGACTTACATTTCCGTGTCGCTGAAATTATTAAGCCCTGCGCCGTGAGTGAGCGTTGATTTGAGCGTGGCAATGAGAGGAGTAAGCGACAAATCCCTCTTTCCCCACCCCCCCCCCCACCACCACCACCACCTCCGTGGCACTTTGTTTGCGAGCACCTATTACCAGCGAGAATGTGCAAATGGATTAACAGCAACCGTTTTTTTAGAGGGCACGTTTGCAAACGCGCAGACATTCTATCCACACACACAAAGATAACAAAGATCCCCCATATAGCCTGTAACAGACTGTAGGGGCAAGTGCTGTTAGCGAGCACCTAACACACACGCACGCACACACGCACACACGCACGCACGCACGCGTTTTGTGTCTTGTGCACGCCGTTGCTGTGTTTGTCTTTGAGGAAATGTTGTCGGGTGTCGTTTGCTGTTTTCTGCTTGCTGATGCTCCTGAGCACGAGAAACCTTGAGGTTTATTTCTATAAACAATGATTTATATTTATCCCGTGAAACGATGGAATGTAAAGATGAGATGAACGTTTTGCTGTTTGCGTGTGCAGTGTTGTGTGGGTGCTTCAAGCCTAGGATACCATTTTCAGCACTGCGATTGACATGTTTTGTGATTGCAAAGAAAAAAATACTCGTCATTCTCATTATTAACACTGTTGCGGCCTTAAAAGGAGAAATATATAATAGGTGACGTTTGAGGCAATGACCCTTTTGCATATGATGTATGGTATTGCAATAATACTAAGTGCAATTGAAAAATAAAATTGGCTTTAATACTGCTTTGTAAAATAAATAAAAATGTCAAATGCATTAAGTTTACAAGTGGGGCATTATAGGTCAAATATATTTTTTAAATATTCTACCTTTTGCCTCTGTCTCCAAGTATAAAAAATAAACGTTTTATTTCTTGGTCATGTTATTGCACGTCGGGGTTTATTTAAAATAAACTAAAACAATATACACTTCTTTGTCAATCCACTGCTGGACGAGATTCTCCCCCACTCCATTTACCACGGTCATGGGCCCTGTTTGACCATACTTCACCAGCCCGGTCAGCGTGGCTTGGGAATTGCAGGGGGTGGGGGATGAGGAAGGAGAAGCCCACCCTAACCGGTGCCACTCGCCACTGATGTTAGCCGTGCGGACAGGAATCAAGCAATCTGGGTTCGCCGGGTTCACAACGCGGAGGCCTCATCCAGCGGTGTTTGTTCGGACAAAAGCAACCCCGCTGAAATATTGCCACCGGCTCCACCTTCAGATCGGAGGTGGTAGAAGGGCCGTTGCCCGAACCGTCGGCCCAATGTGTATTTCTCTCTTACGAGGCACCATTTACTGAACAGTGTGGTGAGGTTTCCCCCCCCCCCCCCTAACTTTGAACTTTTTTTGGGAGACTTAAAAAATAAATATATATAAAAATAAATGTTTCGTTAATCCAAAAAAATTCATGTCCCTCCACCCCCCGCCTCCTGGCAGCCGCGGGAGAAGGGAAGGATGCGATTTCATCGGCTCCAGAACGTGCAGATCGCACTGGACTACCTGAAGCATCGCAAGGTGAGGAGCGTGAGGATGGTGAGGGGTTTAGGAGGGCGATGAGAGAGGAGGGGGGGTGTAAGGAACGATGGCGATGAGAGGTGGTTGACAAAGGGGGGTGATTTGGAGAGAGGGTGAAAGGTGAGTGACTCTTCACGTCGGATTATGACTTTCCATGTCCGTAAACATCATCCCAATTGCTCAGTCCCTCCTCATGCACAGCGTGAGCAGCCGATTTGTCGAAGGCTAATTTCCGCTCTACTACAGCACATACAGACCAGGTTCTGCTCACTCTCAATCAGTATCATTAAATATAGCATTCAGGGGCCATCGGCCTCTGTTTTCTAGCGGCATTTGTTGAAGCCAACAAACTCTGGACGGGTTTCGACTACACGAGTTTCATTGGCAAGGGTTTGGCCCGATAACCGAATGCCGTTGGGTTGCTGTAAGCGAGCGCTCTGCGTTAAATACTGCGCGCTTGAGAAACTGAAGTTAACCAAAGGCGTGCTTAAGACGGGAGTGGTTTTTTTGTCCATTGCAATGCGAATGTGTTGGCGCTGCCCATCTGACCTGACTGGGTTGATGTCACCTCCGTCTCACAGATCAAGTTGGTGAACATCCGAAATGACGACATCACAGATGGCAACCCCAAGCTGACCCTGGGGCTCATATGGACCATCATCCTGCACTTCCAGGTGATGATGATAGTGGTGGTGGTGATGGTGATGGTAACAATGATGATCGTGGTCATCATGACGATGATAGTGAAGGTGAGGTTTATGATGATGATTTTGGTGATGATAGTTATGCTGATGATGATAGTGGTGCTGATGCTGTAAGTGGTGGTGGCGATGATGAAGATGATGACGATAAGTGATGGTTAGTGATGATGAGCGACGGTGCACACGAACCGAATTCATCGACCCATCTCCCGAGTGGCCGTCTTCCCGGGACGCGTTCCATCACTTCTCTGCCCCTCCATCAATTATTTCTGACCGTAGCCATCATCCCGTCTAGTGACGCGTCCGGTCTCTCCCAAGTTCACTCACTCTCCTTAATGGTTTGACAAATTTTCATTGCCCTGCTCATGCTCTCTCTCATCCACATGATTCTCCTGCCCCCCCCTCATTGCAATTCCCCGCATGGCATCTCACTTCTGAGGCAAAATTTTAGTGCCGGATACGGCCACATTTGCAAATGTTTTTTGTAACTCTGATCCTTACCCATGTACCGATAGTTAAATTTTAATGTGTAATTTGTATTTAGGGACTGTGTGTTGTCCTGCTCTGGTCTGGTACTTTTGTTATTTTTCAGCCTTGCCCAAGCTCGCATTTAATGTTCAAAAACCGGCATGAATTGATATACTGTATTTTTACAATTTAAACTTGTGTACTTTATTTTGAGTGATTTGCTTACCTTTCCTATACTCTACACTCCTATCAGGTTCTGTCTTGTTTGTCCCTGCTGAACACCTGTGTAAACGAGCTTTGTAGCTCATCAGATTCCTTCTCCACGATTAATAATAAAGATTCTCGTTCTGATTCTCCATGGTTGCCCCTCGCCGTGGGTTAAAAACGATTTGGATGCCGGTGAAGATGATGACGACGTTGATGATGATGATGATGCCAGTTATGATGATGATGTCAACGTTGATAATGATGATGGCGTTGATGCCAGTAATGATGACAACGAAGACATTGATGATGATGACGACGTTGATGACGACAACGTTGATGCCAGTTATTATGACGATGAAGACGTTGATGACGACGACGATGTTGATGACGACGACGATGTTGATGACGACGACGATGTTGATGATGACTGCGTTGACGACGAAGTTGACGATGACGACGTTGATGACGACGACGACGTTGACGATGACGACGTTGATGACGACGACGACATTGATGACGACGACGTTGATGCCAGTTATTATGACGATGAAGACGTTGATGACGACGACGATGTTGATGATGATGACGATGTTGATGACGACGTTGATGACGACGAGATGACGATGACGACGTTGATGATTACGACGTTGATGACGACGACGACGTTGATGATGACGACGTTGATGACGACGACGACGTTGACGATGACGACGTTGACGACGATGACGTCGATGACGACGACGTTGATGACGACGACGATGTTGATGACGGGTGCTGGCGCCATCTCCGTCGCATACAGATCTCGGACATCCAGGTGACGGGCCAGTCCGAGGACATGACGGCCAAGGAGAAGCTGCTGCTCTGGTCGAAGCGCATGGTGGAGGGCTACCCCGGGGTCAAGTGCGACAACTTCACCACCTCCTGGCGCGACGGCAAACTCTTCACCGTCATCATCCACAAGCACAAGTGCGGCTCGCGCTGACCCCCCCCCCCCACCCACCATTCAGGGAGGGGAGGGGTGGGCCTAGGGGTGGGCCTAGGGGCTGTGGGGGGTAGGTGGGAGGGATGGAGGGATGGAGTTCCAAGTTCACGTTTCAAGTTTGTTGTTTAACCAGCTGGAGACCAGGATGAATTTCATTTGCAAAGAGTGACCTGGGGCATCGGTTAGGGTTGCGGGGGGTGGGGGCGGGGGCGGGGGCGATGTTTGCCTTTGCTGCTGTGTGGTCTAGCCTAGGGGCGCCCCCAGTGGCAGCTGTCCCTGTGCAGCTAGATTCTAACCGCGAAGCTCTGTGACAAGTGGAGGACACGCCGTCGCTGGGCCGAGTCACTGCCGAGGGGAGGGACGGCGGGTTTACTGGCACAGTACCAGGCCGTGGCTCCCCGTGAATACATCGGCACTGGGGAGACAAAGGCGGCCGGGCCGCGGTGCTGTCCACCCCGCCACCTCACGTGCCACGTGTGTCGGCTTCTGTGGGTGCTCGCTTAACAGCACTTGCCCCCCCCCCGCCCCTCCTCCAACAGCCTGCGCGGGCTACCTACACAGGTGACCTTTGCCTCTGTGTCTCGACTGCCACAGGCCAGAGCTGGTGGACCTCAAGCAGGTGCACGGCCGCTCCAACCAGGAGAACCTCGAGTTCGCCTTCTCCACCGCCGAGCGGGAGCTGGGGGTCACCAGGCTCCTGGACCCCGAAGGTGTGACACCGTCCCCCCGTGCGCGTCGCCAACGGCGCGTCGCTCGCGTGTCCGTCCCGTGAGCTCACGTCTGGGACCGGTAGAGGCTGCCCATGACGCTCGTGAGCGCCTGGCGCACAGCAGGCGCTCCTGTTTTCACCGCCCTCGCCGTGCGCGTTTGGGCTATCGGATTGAAAAGACAAACAAACGCAATCTGCCAACGAGGGCGCTGGGAAGGAGGGGACGTGCTCACGGCACCGCGGCACAAGCTCAGCGCGTCGCGGTCAAACGCGACACGCGCCTGCCTCTCCTGCCTCTCCTCGACTCCTAAACGCCGGCAGTACCTTTTGACCTTTGATAACAAAAATGTATCAGGTTGTAAACAATGTCTTCGTGACACACACACACATATACTTTGCATGTGCGTCTGAAACTCTAAACCTGCGATTGATCGCTAAATCAGAGCGCCGCGTCTCTCTCTTGCCCCGCGTTCTGCCCGCTGGAACTTATGCCGCCATCCCTTCTCCCCCCCCCCCGCCAGACGTGGACGTGGCATCACCCGACGAGAAGTCGATCATCACCTATGTGTCCTCGCTCTACGACGCCATTCCCAAGGCTCCCGACGGCGCCAACGCTAACGTGAGCGCCGCATGCACTTTGAACGTGCGTACGCGGCCGGCTGGCCAGGCGGCCAGCTAGCGAGGCGAGGGAGCTGACGGGCGGACAGACAGACGGTTGTTCGGACGAACTAATTAACGAATGAATGACCCAACGATCGAACGAACGATTGAATCTCTGACCGAAAAGGATAAACTAAACTGAGCAATGAACGACCAAGCAAATTATGCAGTAGCTCCGCCTGTCCTTCTGCGATGGGGGACGGGGGGCGCTCAAGATATCCATCGCGACGATGGTCCAATTTGCGCGTACGTGTGGTGTAGAGTCATGTTGCTATTGGGGAACTCCCCCTATTGGTAAGCGGCCGCATCAACAGAAGGGTTGCTGCCCAAAGCTTGCGGAGCAAAGAGGAATATTTGCAACTGTGTGAAAACACATTTTACCCTGAACGGCTACCCGGTTCAGTTTTTCCATACCGCTGCTGAAATAGCTCCTGCGGACAAACACACTCACGCATTTTTGGAAGCCGTAGCGGAATATCACACGCACGCGCGCGCGATTTCTTTTTTTGTTTCCTTCCCCGTGCGGCTCGTGACGGTGTGGGCAGGAGGTTGAGACGCAGTGGCGCGAGTACCAGGAGCTCGTCGTGCTGCTCCTGCAGTGGCTGCGACACCACGTGACCGTCATGTACACGCGCAACTTCCCCAACAACCCTGCCGAGCTCAAGGTGGGGTCGGGGGGGGGGGGGAGCAGAGTTGGGGGCAGGGGGATGGGCAGGCGGGGGGGGGGTCCCATTTGGTCCTCAGAAGTGGAAAAAAAAACGGATGGCTAATTTTTCTGATTCAAATGAGCATTGCTGTATTTACGCCCGTGCGTCAAATCGTCGCTGAACGCGGCGCTTGTTTTAGGGACGCGCCTGCCGCGTTAAACGAGGGATTGCTCGACTCAGTTTCTACTTCGCCACGTCAGCACTCCCCAACTCCTCCCCCACCTCCACCGTACGCGCTAACCGGCGCGGTCAGGCGGCGGGGGGGGTTGAAGTACGATCAGATGAATTTTTATTTAAAGCTTTCGTGACTGCAGGGATTCTTATTCTTGGTTCTTTCGGTAAAGTCACCACGTAGAAGGAAAATAATAAAATAATAAAAATATTAAACAATAAAATTCTCACGACGTTTCGAGTGAAACACAGGCAATCATCATCAGGTGTGAAAACCACAACCACAGCAACATTTTCTTGCTGTGGTTTTCACACCTGATGATGATTGCTTGTGTTGCAATCGAAACGTCGTGAGAATTGTATTGTTTTATTTTGTATTATTTCATTATTTCCCTTCTACGTGGTGACTTTACCGAAAGAACCAAAAATACGATGAGATGACTCCCCAAACACCGGCACGGGTGTGAGGAGGGCCTTGCCCAGCGGTGCATTCACATAGAGGGGCGCCGTGGACAGGCGCAACCTTGTCAGGCAGTACAGCAAGTAGGTAAACCCCCGGGTCCGTCCACTGGCGAGTGAGCCCTTCTCGAGGCTGTGCAGGCGTGACTTTGTATGCGCGTTGAACTTCTTTCGCACCGTACGTAGCCGAGCCGTGCCAACCCGCGTAACCCCGACGCCAAACTATCACTCTCTCCGCCCACACCCCTTCTCTCTTCCCCAGGCCTTGTACAACCAGTACCTGCAGTTCAAGGAGATGGAGCTGCCCCCGAAAGAGAGCGACAAGATGCGAATCAAAACACTCTACAAGTCTCTGGAGGTAGGTGCACAGAGGCCCCCGAACGCGTTCTGTTACCGGCCTGAGTACACCCTCGGCGGTAACGGGCAATTGTTCGTATAAAATACTTCCGTTCCGTGTGAACGCGCATGGCTTGTGTGCGTGTGAAGCGATAAGCGTGCGATGTTGGAAGGTGTATTGTTTTTATGTTTGGGAGCGGTGGTATAGCGGTTAGTGGGGTGCGCTCCAAACCTGGCGACCCGAGTTCGATTCCCGCTTCACCCCCATAACCGATGACGATTATATGAACCTGTTCTGGGCCTCCCCTAATTCGACTCAGCGTCACATGAGTATCTGGTGCTGTGTGTAAACATCACCACTGGGGAGACAAAGGTGGCTGGGCGTGGTCCTGGCCACCCACGACCTCGTGTGCCGTGCCGGCCTTCATAGGTGCTCGTTAACAGCACTTGCCCCAACAGTCTGTTGAAGGCTATACGGGGGATCTTTGTCTTATTTAGACAAGGTCACCACAGTGGCGAGATGTTAACTATCTCGCCTGGTAAACCGGATGTCGTGGGTTCGATTCCGACCCTGAGTTTGCATGTTTCTCCTCGTGGTGGTCGCGTGGATTTATCTCCAGGTTCCTCGCTTCTCCCCTCCACATTTAGAATCAACGTCGCGCGTTTAGATTATTTGGCTGCTATAAATTTCCGCATGATGAGACGCTTTGTTGAGCTATCATTTGTGGCCAGGTCGCTTCTGAAAACGGAGCTACATAGCTCAGTGGGGACTTACCTGGTAAAATAAAACGTAGCTTAGTTTAGTTGACGTGTGTTAATGGCCGTGTGTTTGTGTGCGGCTCCTTCACCAAGGCGTGGATTCTCGCCGGGCGCATCAAGCTGCCCCAGGGCCAGCACCCGAACGACGTGGAGAAGGAGTGGGGCCGGCTCATCGTCGCGATGCTCGAGAGGGAGAAGGAGCTGCGGCCCGAGATCGAGAGGTCGGTGCACGCGCACACACGCGCACACACGCGCACACACGCGCACACACACTCGCGCACATGCAAAAAGATTCCCCACCCCCGTCGCCGTAGCCTTAACACGCTGCTGGGGCAAGTGCCGTTAGCAAGCACCTTCGAAGGCCGGCACGGCACGCGAGAAAGGGGGGGACGGTGTGGCCAACACCACGCACGGCCGCCTTTGTCTCGCTAGTGCCGATGTTTCGACGCCGCACCACGTGCTCTGTTTTTTTTTTGAGGCCGAGTCGACACCCAGGCGAGGCCTGTGACCAGTCCATTTATCCGCCGCTCTTATTGGTCGTATTTGAGAATTTAACTCGGCCCGCTGGGTTCGCAGCGCAGCTCGTTAATCGCTTGCACTGGCGATCCCCACGATGTATACACACAAGACACACATGCGGACACACTTGCACGCGCACACTCACACACAGTCATTTCTGGGGGCGGAGCCAACGTTCGTTTGTACCGGCTGGAAATGTGTTTCCGCGCCGCGCTTTGAGGTTGACCGCGGCGACGGCTACGACGACGACGATCGTGGTGGTGGTGTTGTTGTTGTTGCCATGGTGACAGGCTGGAGATGCTGCAACGGGTGGCGCTGCAGATCCAGCAGGAGTCGGGCGTGTGCGAGGAGAAGCTGATGCGCGCCGAGCGGCTGCTGCACATGGTAAGTGTGGCTTTCCGGCGTCGCAGCTGCTGAGCAAAATGTGTGTGCGTGCTGAACTTCGTTCGCACGGTACGTAGCCGGCCGCGCTACGCGGAGGTGTGGGGGAAGGACAACAAACTAAACACAAAGAGCAGTTCAAAAGAGTTGTCAATCGAGCTTTTAAAGTCCATTGCTTCAGTGGCTTCCTAATATCGGAAGGAAGAGCGTTCCAGACGGCCACAGAAGCGCACCTCAAAGCGCACGGTGCAGTAACCGCCTGCTTTTGGCGAGCCATTGAACGAAAATTAACTTTGCGCAGGCAGCACAGGCGAGTTCACAATGGCCGTGGCGAAGCACTGAGTGGCTTCCGCTGGGCACTGGGCTCGAGCACAAGTTTGAGGCTGGGCTTTGGCTGCCGTGGTTCAACGGGTTCTGCAGTGGGGATGGTTCGTGACGAAATGGTCGTGGTGACGATGTTAGCGGTGGCGATGGCGACGATGTTAGCGGTGGTGACGATGTTGGCGGTGGCGATGGCGACGATGTTAGCGGTGGTGACGATGTTAGCGGTGGCGATGGTGGCGATGTTAGCGGTGGTGACGATGTTGGCGACGGTGTCGATGTTAGCGGTGGTGACGGTGCTGCGTGTGGTGGTGACTGCGCGGCGCCCCGCAGGAGCTGCATGCGGGCGGCACGGCGGGCCCAGGCGCCACGGAGCTCGAGGTGACGCTGGGCGAGCTGGACGCGCTCATCCGCAGCATGTTCGCCAACGTGCAGACGCTCAAGGACGGCCGCTACTTCCAGGCGGAGAACATGTACCGGCGGTGAGTGGCTCTGCACGTACACACACGCGTGCGCGAGTGTGTGGTGTATGTGCGTGTGCGCATCCATACATGTGTGGTGTTCTTCACGGAGGCACACACTTGACTTGGAGGCAACACGTTTATTTCAACAACCCAACCGGGTAACTACATAAACGTATGGAATAACAACATGGGTGATAATAAAGTATTAAAGCTTTCATGACTGCATAAAATTACTCATTGGTTTTTTCGGTAAAGTCACGTGACTTTACCGAAAAAACCAATGAGTAACATGGGTGATAGCCACTTGAGTATTAACTAAGCCACAACAGGGCAACTGCATAACTGGGTCAGTCAGTAACATTCTGACTGACCCACGATGCCGAGTGAAGACCGAAGATCGGAGAGACGTAGCACCGAGGGTTGTTTCCAGAGAACAGCTCCGATCGGGGCTGGGGACTCGGCCACGCCCCCTTCCAGATCCTTCCCGAAGACTCTGGCCCCTACATCACGTGTCCCTCTCTCCCCCTTTTGGACCCCCCTTGCCACTTCTCGGGGTCACCCAGACTGTCATGTCCTCACTCGACCTCTCTCTCACTGTCACCAGGACCATGCCCCCTAGGGCCCGCTTCCATGGCATACCCACTCAGGTGCCCGAGAGAGGCTCAAGACCCACAGTTCCACTCTTGTGACACTAGCTGGTGCTAACCGCCATAGTGACCCCATTTATGTCACTACATATGTATGGGGGGAGCGGTAGTGTAGCAGTTAGCACGCTGCACGACTAACCCGGGTGCCCCGAGTTCGATTCCCGCTCACAACACCGGTGACGATTATCTGAACTGTTCCTGGGCCCCCCTTCGGTCGACTCGGCCTCAAACTAGCGCCTGGCACGGTGTGTAAAAACATCGCCATTGGGGAGACAAAGGCGGCCAGGCGTGGTGCTCGACCTTGACCCCGACCGTCGCTTGCAGGGTGTTCCAGCTGCACGAGCGAGTGGTGGCGCTGCGCTCCGAGCACCGCACGGCGTTCTCCCCGAGCCGCGCGGCCGGCTCGGCCGTCGAGACGCAGACGGCGCGTGCGACGCTCGAGACGCAGACGACGCAGACTGACCGGGGTCAGGGCAAGCTGCAGCAGCAGCAGCTGCAGGTGAAGCTGAAGCACCCGCAGCCTCAGCAGCGGCGTTCGCCTGGAGGGTCGACCGCTGAGGAGGAGGCGACGGTGTCACTCCGAGACCTCCTACAGTGGGTGGAGACGCAGCAGGTGAGGCTCTGACTGGTGGTGGATGTCGTCATCGCACCGTGGGTCGTCATCATCGTTGGCCCCGTTTTCACAGAAAAACTTCAAAATTGGCGCGTGCGATTTGGGGGCGGTGGTGTGTGGCGGAGAGCAGCGGGGATACCAGCGCTATGTTTCAAGTTTCATTTCAAGTTTCATTTATTAGGTATAGCCCTGTGAGCCATGCGGCTCTTAAGTCGGGTGCAACCGCAACAAACAAAATATGAATCTACATTGCAGAAAACTATTACACCACAACCAGACCAAAATAAAGCTACAAAAACAATGTAAAAAAAAACAATGTAGCAACAGTAATCATAGCAACTGTGCCCCGTCGGCTCCCCCCGGCACCGTCGGCCCCCTCGGCTCCATCGGCTCCCTCTGTCGGCTCCCTCCGTCGGCTCCCCCGGCCCCCTCGGCCCCCTCACAAGCGGCCCCCGCCAGCCGCTGCTGGGAGCGCGCCTCAGGCGGCCATCTTGCTTTACCCAAAGAGCAATAACCGGCGATGGTGCGGCGAGTTTGTGGCTGCTGTTGGCGAGTAGTCAATGTATGGCAAGGGTTGGCTTTCATGTGAGCGTCACTGGGCCTTGTGCATAGGATGCGCTGCCCTCTAGTTTTTTAAATAAATATTTTTTAAAAAATTTAAATATAAAAGATTGGTAAACCTGTGAGGGAGAGATGTTGGTCCCGGTCACCAGTAACTGCACCAAAAATGGCTTTGACTGAAAAGTGCTGCCCCTTCAACCCCCCCCCCCGCTACCATCCCACTGTGGGCACCGGAGGTCACGAGAATCGATTTCAGAGGTAGCTCTCCCGACATCTCGCTTCCGCGTGCCGATCTCTAGCATATGGAGAGGGATGCACCCGCTTCAGGAGGCATGCGGTCGGGTACCCGCTCTCCGCGATGTGACGGCCGACTTTTACAATCCGGATAAACATTGAGGTGAAACGACGAAACAAATCTTACCCACGATGGAAGTTGTCCCAACCGTGTCAGCCGAGGAATCTGCCACCTCTGCAGGTGGCGCTGGATGCGGCGGAGTGGGGGACGGACCTCCCAGCCGTGGAGGCCAACTTGGAGGCCCACCGAGGCACGCACCGCGACATCGAGGCCTTCCGTGCTCGCCTCGAGCAGGCCAAGGCTGCCGAGGTGAGTCTTGGGATTCCGCCGCGGAGCAGAGGGGCGCGTGGGGGGGGGGGTCCGATCGTGGTCGCGATCGGCAGCAGTAGCAGCAAGGATCATCATCACCACCAGCAGTAGAATCATGAGTGTATGTTGAACTTCTTGCACACCGTACGTAGCCAACGGTGCTAATCGGAGGTGTCGGGGGGGGGGGGGGAGGACATCAAACTAAAACACAAAAATGCAGTTCTAAAGCAATGACTTTTCAATTTTGACTGAAAACTTTCGTGACCGCAGGAATTCATATTCATTGGTTCATTCGGTAAAGTTACGTAGATAGAAAAAATGAAATAAAAATATAAAAAGCACGACGTTTCACAACACAAGCGATCGTCTCTAGTGTGCTACCTGCATCATCAGAAGCAGCGGCAGCAGAATTACCACCACCATCATCAGTAACATCAGCATCATCAGAAGCAGCAGTTGTGGTATCATCATCACCAGTAGTAGGATCGTCATCAGCAGCAGCAGCAGAAGTACCCATCATCCTCGACAGCATCAGCAGGTGATAATTACTGTCATCACCCTCATCCGGACCATACCGACAGTCAATCCTGTGCATTGCGTTTGTCCAAATAATAATCACCAGCGTAATTATCATCATCGTCAAGGGACGTCATAATCGCCGTCACGAGCAGCAAGAAGAGGCTCATCATCAGCTGCAGAAATATATCCTCATCAGCAGTGCAGCATCATCACTTTGTCTGCCAAGCACTTCCTGAGGCACGTCGATCCCATCTTCGTCACCTTCCTATCGGCAACGCGTTGCCACGCGTCCTGTGACCCTGACTGGGGCGCCCGTGTCCCTTCCACAGCCCAAGGTCAGCTCGGCGAACAGGGGCACCTACAGCGAGTACCTGGGGCGCCTGGAGCTGCAGTACACGCGCCTGCTGGTGAGCGACGGCTCCTCGCCCCCCCCCCCCCCCCCCCCGATTCCCAAGCCTGTCCACCAGACGGAGCGATCAATAACAAACAATAGCAATTCCAACTTGGAAACCCGCACCGCCGCCACACGGTAGTCCGCTCCTCGCTCCCGTCGAGAGAGGGGACGGCTTCGGCCACGTTGGGAGGGGCCGCAGTCGAGCGGCAAGGCAGCGACGCGATGAGCCGCCCGTCCGTGTCAGGGAGGGAGGCGCTATAACTCTTGTGAAGATCGTACAACGGTCACATTGCGTGCCCAGTAAATATGCAACGTTGGGCCCCAAACATTGCATTGGTGTTGGCCAACACATCCCAATGTAATGGGACCCTCCTGAAAAAAAACATTGAGTCTTAGGACTCTGTGCGGCTTTCCTGGGTGAAGGAGGGTCGGCACACCCGCGGCTCCGGAGCTGCGTGCGGCTCTTTAGAGACCGCCACGTGACCGTTGCTCACTAAGGGCCACCACCGTCTCGTATTCACATCGCAGAACTCGTCGCGTGGACGCCTGCGCCACCTCGAGAGCCTGGAGCGCTTCGTGTCGCGCGCCACGCACGAGCTCATGTGGCTGAACGCACGCGAGGAGGAGGAGGTGGCGCACGACTGGAGCAACCGCAATCCGGACGTCGCCAGCAAGCGCGAGTACCACGAGGTGACGCCCCGTGCGTGCGTCCGTGCGTGTGTCCGTCCGTGCGTGTGTCCGTGCGTGTGTCCGTGCGTGTGTCCGTGCGTGTGTCCGTGCGTGTGTCCGTGCGTGTGTCCGTGCGTGCGTGCGTATCTTCGTAGGTGCTGCTCGTTAATGGCACTTGCCCCAAAAGTCTGTGAAGGCTATACGGGGGGATCTGTATCTTTGTGTGGGGGAGGAGTGGTTGGCGCGCTCCGCTACGAACTTGCTGACCCAGTGACGCTCCTGGGACTCCCCTAGGTCGACTCAGCCTCAAATTAGTACCTGGTGCGGTGTGTAAAAAACATCGCCACTGGGGAGACAAAGGCGGTCGGGAGTGGTGCTGCTCACCCACCCCTTTCATGTGCCGTGCTACTCGCTAACAGCACTTGCCACAACAACCTGGAAAGGCTGTACAAAGTTGGGCGGGGGGGGGTGGTGGTCTTTGTCCGTCATCTGTTAGCAAGGTTTATCCAGTGACGGATTTACAACGGGCCGTGGATCGCTTCTCATTAGCTTTCAAAAGGCGCTCCATACAAGTCACAATAAGCTATAAGATCGCTATGTTGTTCAAAGTGCGACGCTCCGACGCCCGCCCGCCCGCCCGCACGCACGGAGAGGGCCGAGACGCTCCACGCTGTGTGCTCGTTTGCGCGCAGGAGCTGATGAAGGAGCTCGAGAAGAAGGAGGTGGAGCTGAACGCTCTGCGTGACGGTGGCGAGCAGCTGCTCGTGCAGAACCACCCGGCTCGGGAGACCATCGAGGTACACCGCCACGGGGACAACGGTCCGGCCGCCATCCCCCCCCCCCCCCCCCCACACAACACCCTCCACCCCCGCACCACCCCGCTGCCCTAACCCCCCACCCCCAACACACGGAATCTTTATTTTAAAGGTGTAAAGAAAGCGCCTCGTCCGCCGAGCCTCTGCAGCCGACTCGACTTGAGGATTCATTCCAATGCACGATTTCCGTCGCCGCCGTGACCTCCGCTTGCTTTTACAAGTGGCGCAAGCAGGCAGGCAGGAACCACCGCTGCACTCCGCAGCCTCCCTCCCCGCCCTTCGTCGTCGTCGTTCCTCCGTGCGTCTAGCCGCACGCGTCTCCACCGCCGACGGAGGTTGGCTGTCGGGGAGGGCTCTTGGCTGACCGGGTCCCCCGTGCGGGTTTTGTGTTCCGCAGGCTTACTTGGCCGCCATCCAGTCCCAGTGGCATTGGATTCTGCAAATCTGCAGCTGTGTGGAGACCCATCTCAAGGAAAACACGACCTTCTTCCAGGTGCGCACACACGTGCGTGTCCGTGTGTACGCGCGCAACGTGGTTTCGCACGTACGCAGTACGCATGCGCCGTAGTCGAGTTCGCGAGATAGCGGGGAGCGGGTTGCGCAGCGGTTGACGCGCATGACGCCGTGAACCCGGCGTCCTGAAATCAACTTCCGTCGGCAGCTAACGTCGGTGGCAGGCATGGTGCGCGTCATACCGCCTTCCTGCGCGCTGCCAGCACCTGACACAACAGAGCTGTCTCGCCATGCTTCGCCACGCTCGCCGGTGCGGATACGGGAACCGTGACAAAACCGCTGCCATTTATCTCTCGCCGCCAATGTTGATCGCAGTGAAGGCCTACGAAGGCCAACGCGACAGTCGAGAGATTGGTGTGGCTATGACCACGCCCGGCAGACTTTGTCTCCCAAGTGGTGATGTTTACACACAGGTTCGCCGTTAAGGCCGATTCGACCTAGGGGAGGCCCAGGGCCGGTTCAGATATTCATCACTCCTGTTGGTTACGAGCCCAGGTCACCGAGTTTGTAGCACGATGCGCTAACCATTGCACCACTGCTGCCCCACCCCCGTCATAGGAATGTGGAATTTCCAACGCTGGATTCGGGCTGTAGAAAGATGAGCGGCAGTCCCGTGCTCATTTGAGCGGGAAACCACTTTGACCTTTGAACTTTGACTCACTCAGCTGTTTTATTGGCAGTGCAGGCGAGGAGGAGAGGGCTGATTTAGTGCAGCAGGAATGTATTATGGGCTGTAATGTATACGATGGGGTTCTCTATCAAACAGCGCTGGCATTCATCATGCAGCGTTATTATTGCCTCTTAGGGAGCTAATGTGATGGATATAATTCATGTGTTCACTGCACAGGATGTGTGTGTATGGGGAGCGGTGGTGTAGCGATTCGCGCACTGTGCTACGAGCATGTGCCACCTGAGTTCAATTCCCGCTCACGGCTAACACTCGGTGATGGTTATCTGAACTGGTCCCGGGCCTCCCCAAGGTCGATTCGACCTCGAATGAGACCAGCTGCGATGTGTAAATGTCGTTACTGGGGAGACAAAGGCGGCCGGGCACGTTGGCTGGCCACCCTCCCCCTCGTCTGCCGTCCCGGCCTTCATAGGTGCTCACCAACAGCACTTTCCCCAACAGTCTGTTAAGGCTACACGGGGGAACTTTGTCTTCACAACCTTCAGGCTCTGTAAATGTGCAGATTTCCCATATTCGTACAGAACATTGAGATGCGGCCGTGTTTACATGTTTTTATTTAGCGAAATTGTCTGTGATGGATGTACGTGCGTACATTTCAGATATCGCGTGCGTGCCGTTGTTGTTGTTATCTTGTGTACACTGTGGTTTGTCGTGCGTCTCATCCGGGTTCGCGCGTGTGTCACAGTGTAAACGTGTTTCTCTTTCTACGTGTGTTACGGTTTAAAATGTGTGGCGGTTTCTAAGCGTGCTAAGCCAAGCCGAGCGTGTGCTTCGTCGTTCGCGTTTGCCGCAGTTTTTCGCGGAGGCTCGGGAGGGCGAGCATCGCCTGAACTCGCTGCTCGAGTCGATCCAGCGCAAGTACACGTGCGATAAGAGCAGCAGCCTCTCCCGCCTCGAGGACCTGGTGCAGTGCTCCATGGTGAGCGCCGCGTGATGTGCTCATGACCGCGCGTCTCTGCGGGGCGGGGAGCGGAAGTGCAGCGGTCGGCGCGCCGCGCTATGAACCTGGGGCATTGCGAGTTTGCTTCCCGCTCACGCACACACCCAACACCAGCAACGATAAATTTCGATTTAAAGCTTTCGTGACTGCAGGGATTCATCTTCTTGGTTCTTTCGGTAAAGTCACCATGTAGAATGGAAAGAAAGTAATAAAAATAAGACATAGTAAAATAAAATTCTCACGACGTTTCGGCCACAACACAAGTAGCCTTCTTCAGGTGAAGGAACAGAACTGTCAGGACGACAGCGCTTTAATGAACGAATCTTAGCAGCGTTCATTGAAGCGCTGTCGTCCCGACAGTTCTGTTCCTTCACCTGAAGAAGGCTACTTGTGTTGTGGCCGAAACGTCGTGAGAGTTTTATTTTATTTTATTATGTTTTATTTTTATTACTTTGTTTCCGTTCTACCAGGAACGATAATTATATCTGAGCCTCCCATCGGTCGACTGGGGGAGGCTCACATAAAGAAACGAGTGCCTGGTGCGGTGTGTAGTAAACATCGCCACTAGGGAGGCAAAGGCGGCCGGGTGTGGTGCTGGCCACCCGCCTACCCCCCCCTCTTGTGTGCCGTGCCGGCCTTCATAGGTGCTCGCTAAAAACAATTGCCCCAACAGTCTGTTAAAGGCTACACGTGTGCATCTCTGTGGGGTGGAGAGCGGTAGTGTAGCTGTTAGCGCGCTGCACCACGAACCCGGCAACCCGTGTTTGAATCCCGCTCACGGACACCAACTCCGGCGACGATTATCTGAACCGGTGCTAGGCCTCCCCTAGGTCGACTCAGCCTCAAACGAGTGCCTGGTGCGGTGTGTAAACATCGCCACTGGTGGAGGTAAAGGTGGCCGGGCGAGGTTGTCCATACCCCCCCAAACCCCTTGTAAAAAAAAATATATATATAGCTGCGCCGTGCGGACCTTCATAGATGCTCGTTTTAACAGCACTTGTCCCAACAGTCTGTGAAGGCTATACGGGGGAACTTTGTCTTTGTCGTCTACGATTTTGAACTCGCGCGTCAGGACGAGAAGGAACAGCTGGTGGAGTTGAAGCGCACCGTGGCCGGGCTGGTCGGGCGAGCCAAAACCATCGTGCAGCAGAAGCCTCGCAACCCTGAGAACCGCGTGGCCGCTTCGATCCCCATCCGAGCTGTCTGCGACTACAAGCAGATGGAGGTGAGGTCTAGCAGGAGCCGGGTCTTCTCAGTCGATCAATTCCGCGCCGAGTTTGTCTCAGTCCTGCTTGTGAGTACCCCGGTGCGATGCGTGTAAACATTTCCTCTAGGTTAGACAAAGGCGGCCGGGCGTGGTGCCGGCCACCCACCCCATCCCGTGCAGCCGTGCCGCCCTTCATAGGTGCTCGCTAAGCAGCACTTGCCCCGGCAGACTGTTGAGGCTATACGGGCGGCCTTCTTTGTCTTTTCTTGCGTCTCCACCGCCACGCAGATCACGATTCACAAGGGCGAGGAATGCGCCCTGGAGGACAACTCCCAGCGGAGCAAGTGGCGCGTGATCAACCCGACGGGCAACATCGCCACCGTGCCCTCCGTGTGCTTCCTGGTGCCGCCCCCTAACCCCGACGCCATGGAAACCGCCGCCAGGTGAGTTAAACTGAACACTTTTGTTTTTTATTTACCAGTGAAGGCCCAACAGTGGCTTATCATGCGTAAATTTAAATCAGCCAAATACTTAAACGCACGCCGATTGTAAACGTGGAGGGGACAAACCCGGAGGATCCGGAGAAAAATCCACACGACCACACGGAGAGAGAGAGAGAGACGCGAACTCTAAATATACACGAACCCACTACCTCCTGCATACCAGGCGAGGGAGATAACATCTCGCCACCGTGACGCGTTAAGTTACAAAGCCAGGGATGTACATTTATATGGGCTTGCATTTAAATAAAATTATAGAACGGTAGAGTCGCGTATCCGACTCGCTGGGGGGGGGAGGGGGGGATCGAGGTAGATGTGGATGTCTGATGGGGTCAAATATGTGAACGTCTTATCGGAAACGAGATGTTGCACAAAAACTGCACCGCATGTGTAAGCGGTTACTTGCGCAGGGTGGGTACGTGGCATTTTGTACCATAGTAGTGAATTTCTGTGGCCGGCGTGGTGAAGTATGGTCAAACAACCCCCCCACCCCCATAACCAACATGACAAAGAGAGGAAGGAATTCATCCAATAAAAAAACATTGCTCAATGAAAAGTGGGCTGCCAGGAGCGGTCAGGAACTTGTTGCCAGCCTCGGCAGCGTTGGAAGAGCTTCCAAATGCAGCTCAGAATTAAAGGTGGATCTCACTTACGAAAACGCTGCTGATATTCATGATGATAAAAATAACAGCGCTGCTATTCTAGATAGCGAGACTGTCACTGAAGGCGATAACAATGCTGCTGCTGCTGAAAATGCTACTGATGATGATCATTACACTGCTCCAGATCACAGATCGTGATGATAATGCTGCTGCTGCTGCCGATGACGATGACGATGACATTGTCAGTGCGAGGTGACGATGTTAACGACGGCGCCCGTGACCTCGTGCAGGATTGAGCAGCTCTACCAGAGCGCCATGGCGCTGTGGCACCAGCAGCATGTGAACATGAAGAGCGTCGTGTCCTACCTCTACCTCATCAAGGACATCGAGATCATCCGCTCGTGGAACGTCATCACGGTCAGTGCCCCCGAGACCTCCAACCTCTTACCCGTAGCCTCCTCTACGAACCCAAGAACCCGAGTTCCATTCCCAGCTATGGCTAACAGCAGTGGTGCCTGAAATGGGTCAGGGCGGCCTCTGGGTCTACTCAGCTTTAGCAAGGAGTACCTGGTGCAGTGTGCATATGGCCATGGTGTATTTCTGGCCTTGTCCCACCCTCCTTGTGCGCCGGTGCCAGCCTTAAGAAATGCTCGCTAACTGCACTTGCCCCAACATCTTGTCTAAGCTACACGGGGTATTTCTGTCTTTGTGTGTGCATGCGCATGCTTGTTGTTGGTGGGTGTATTTGCATGTGCATCTGTGTGTCTTGAGCGTGTCTGGCTCTGCGTATAATCTGTGCATTCGTACTTGTACGCATCGGCACTGGGTGAGACAAAGACGGCCGGGCGTGACGTTTGCCACACCACTCGCCTGCCGCCGTAGGCCCTGCCCGATTATAACAGCCCTCGCCCCAACATTCTGTGTAGGCTACATGGGTAAGGGGGGCGGCTCGTTTATATTTCGTTAAGCGCGCGTGTCCATCCGCGTTTTGTCTCTCCCGTTCCCCGGTTTCGGCAGCTCAAGTCGCTGCCGCAGCAGGAGTACGAGCGGGTGGTGCGGAGCGTGCAGGTGCGCTTCCAGGACTTCCTGGAGGACTCCCGCGAGTCGCAGCTCATCTCCACGGCCGACCACGCGCGCGTGCAGGCCGACGTCGAGGCGTGCCGACAGCACTTCGACGCGCTGCTCAGCGCCATGCGGCAGGGTGAGGGCGCAGCGGGTGGAGCGAGACCAGAGGGAGGGGTCGTGGTGGTGGAGGGGGAGGGGTGGTGGAGGGGTCGTGGTGGGGAGGGGTCGTGGTGGGGAGGGGTCGTGGTGAGGAGGGGTCGTGGTGAGGAGGGGTCGTGGTGGGGAGGGGTCGTGGTGGGGAGGGGTCGTGGTGAGGAGGGGTCGTGGTGAGGAGGGGTCGTGGTGGGGAGGGGTCGTGGTGGGGAGGGGTCGTGGTGGGGAGGGGTCGTGGTGGGGAGGGGTCGTGGTGAGGAGGGGTCGTGGTGAGGAGGGGTCGTGGTGGGGAGGGGTCGTGGTGGGGAGGGGTCGTGGTGAGGAGGGGTCGTGGTGGGGAGGGGTCGTGGTGGGGATGGGACGGCTAGTGGGAAGACGGAGGGACCGGCAAGTGAGGAGGTGGAGGGGAGGATGGGCGTGGGCCGTGGGTTGTGAGTTCTCCGATCTTGAACGAGGGAGAAAATGAACTCAATGCTGCCCTTCTCTTTCTTTGTGTCCATGTGTGTCTGCGTGTCTGCGTGCATTTATGCGTCCGTGTGTCTGCGCGTGCGTCTGTGTGTCTACGTGCGTCTGTGTATCTGTGTGCGTCTGTGTGTCTACGTGCGTCTGTGTGTCTACGTGCGTCTGTGTATCTGTGTGCGTCTGTGTGTCTACGTGCGTCTGTGTATCTGTGTGCGTCTGTGTATCTGCGTGCGCGCCTCTGTGTTTGTGCGTGCCGCCTGCGTGTCGGCTCTGCCGTGCGCGCAGAGGAGGAAGGCGAGAGCCTCTGTGGCTCGCTGCTCTCGCGCCTGCAGAAGGTGCGGCTGCGGCTGGAGGGCTGCGAGGAGCGCGTGATCCGCCAGATCCGAACTCCGCTCGACCCCTCGGACCCCCTGCAGGACAGCCTGCAGCGCATCGCGGAGCAGGAGGTAGCATGCGCACGTCTGTGTACATGTGGGTGTGTACGCGTGTGTTGTGGTCACCAAAGACAAAGACTCGGCCTCAGATGAGTACCTGGTGCGGTGTGTGAACATCGCCACTGGGGAGACAAAGGCGGTCGGGCGTGGTGCTGGCCACCCACCCCCTCGTGTACCGTTCCGGCCTTCATAGGTGCTGCTCGCTAACAGCACTTGCCCCTACAGTCTGTTAAGGCTACACGGGGGATCTTTGTCTTTGTTGTGGTCACGCGCACAAGTATTGGGAGCGGTGGTCTAACGGTTAGCTCGCTGCGCTACGAACCCGGCGACCCGAATGATTCCCGCTCGTGGTCATCACCAGTGACGATTATCTGAACCGGTCATGAGCGTTCCGTAGGTCGACTCAGCCTAAAATGAATACCTGTTGCAGTGTGTAAGCATCACCTATGGTGAGACAAAGGCGGCCGGGCGTGGTGTTGGCCACCCACCTCCTCATGTGCTGTGCTGACCTCCATAGGTGCTCGTTAACAGCACTTGCCCCTACAGTCTGTTGCAGGATATACGGGGGATCTTTGTCTTGGGGTGTTTGTGTGGAGCAGTTGGACAGTGTTAGATTTAAAGCTTTCGTGACTGCAAGGATCCATACTCTTTGGTTCTATTCAGTAAAGTCACGTAGGTAAAAAAAAATCACGACGTTTCGGCCACAACACAAGTGGCCTTCTTCAGGTGAAGGAACAGAACTGTCGGGACGACAGCACTTCAATGATGAAGGCCACTTGTGTTATGGCCGAAACGTCGTGATTTTTGTTGTTTTATTTTTTACCTACGTGACTTTACCGAATAGAACCAAAGAGTACAGTTGGACAGTGGTTAGCGCAATGTGCTACAAACCCGGCGAACAGAGTTCTATTCCCGCTCATGACAAATAAGAGTGGTGAATATCTGAACTGGTCCCGAGCATCCCCGAGACCTCACCGCCAGAGTCAAATATCCATTGAGCATGCAGCTGTACAGAACCGACTGACCGGAGCATCGCATCGCCTGCCCATGAGTAAACTATAAACAATTTTTTTTATTTTACCAGGTAAGGCCCACCGAGCTATACAGCCCTTTTTCAGAAGCGACCTGGCCACAAATGATAGCTCAACAAAGTGGCTCATGTGGAAATTTCAATCAGCCAAATACTCTAAATGTGGAGGGCAAAAAATGGGAGGTACCAGGACAAAAATCCACGCGACCACGGGGAGAACATTCAAACTCCAAATATACAGGCGCCAGGGTCGGAATCGAACCGACGAGCACCTGTATACCAGACAAGGGAGTTAACATCTCGCCACCGTGGCGCCCAGTGAGTCGGCTCACACGCCCGTCCCGTGCTCTCCTCCTCCTCCTCCTCACTATACAGGCGGTCGTGCAGGACCTGGGCAAGGTGGAGGCTGAAATGTCGTCGCTGGACAAGGAGAGTCGGGAAGCCCTTGCCGCGCAGCCCGGCCAGTCGCACAGCGTGTCCTCGCTCGCGTCGGAGCTCGCCCTCACCACCCAGAAGCTAGTGCAGGTCAAGGCCCTGTCGACGGTCTACCTGGAGAGGTGAGTGTCCGTCTCGCCGCGCTCGCGTGTCACCGCGACGCCGCTACCCGAACGTCCCCCGTGTGGGACCGCAGAGCTTGGGCAGTTGTTGGTTCTTCTTCATATGATGGTCACCAATGGCAACACTCCCAATGCGGACGCGGTTGAACCCCGACCCATGCCGATGATCATTAATTGTTAATTTTTTTCGTGCCACCACACCGCGCGACTGCAGCTGCCACCGTTTCCTCAGCGTTTGAGTTTCTTGAACCGGGGGACCCATCCAAGAGTTATCGCGTCTGTGATGGAAGTATTATGGAGTTCTGACTCCCCTTTGCCGTACTTTTATGGGGCTTGCGAATGACCCGCTCTAAACGTCCGTGCAATTTGCTGTGGCCTCTGTCGGCAGGCTGAAGAGGATGAGCACGCTGGTGGGAAGCCTGCAGGAGGCCGATGTTCTGCTGAAGGAGCTGGAGGGTCACCTGTACGAGGAGGAGACTGTTCCCACCGACCCGGCCACAGTCAGCACCTACATCGCGCAGCTACAGGTGAACGTTTATGCATTCGGTCCGTCAGCCTGTCCGTAGCGGGGAGAGCCACTGTGACTCTCATGAAGATGGTTCAACGTGTATGAAGCTTTCGTATAAACTTGTGCTGCCCTTGAGGGTCTTTCCCCTTGAGGAAACCAGCCAGGTTGTTCAAATAATTGCCCAAAGCTTGTAGATACAAATCAGATTTAAAAAAATGTTATTTGCAAACAGGCAAATACTGCCCCATGTGACATGTGACCTCTCACCCCCCCCCGTGTGACAATGCCTTACCCCTCCATGTGACATCTTACTGCTGGCCCCGCAAAACACTTGCTGCCCTTCTCCCCTGCCCGTGCAGGCCTGGGCGAAGGAGGCGGAAGAGACGGAGGGCCGCAAGGGTGGCCCGCTGGCGTCGCTGGACGTACACCTGCGGGCGGCGCGCGAGTCGGGCGGGCGGATGCTGAGCGAGCACGGCGAGCGCGACCCCGACCTGGAGCGCGTGGCGGAGCGTGCCGAGCACACGCTGGAGCGCTGGCAAAGCGCGCGCTCTCAGATCCGTGCCAGGTCAGTCGCGGATTCCTTTCACCCCCCCCCCCCCCCCCCACTGCGTGTCCCGCGCAGTGCCGAGCCAGCCCTGCCGCGATTGAGCGTTTTAGGATCCGAAACATCTTCGGCCGAATTTGGCTCGCGTCCCAAGCCCAAATATTGCGTCGATTTTGGGGAGATTTCACAACGGTTTCTCATTATTTTTTCCCCACTGAAGAAGCCGAGGGTCGTGCTGCTGACTTGGCACACGTTGAGCGAGTCGAGGCATGTTTAGACGACGCGGTGACGCTGCTTGCACGTTCACGGTGCACTGGCCGACGTCGCACAATATGAACGTTCAGTTGACCCAACCCCTGGCCCTACTCGCCCCCACCAGAACCAGATTCATACGTCTTGTCAGGAAAGCTTATCATGGAATTTGTTCCAGGTCCGCTTGACAGATAGGCAGTGGAAAAGCACCCGCACTGTGATGGACCCGTGCTGGCTCTTCGAGTGTGCCACAACATTTTAAAATATGAAATCAATTCTGAACTGAATCAGGACTCCGAATTGTGAAAATGAATTGAAATTCCTGGTGCATCATTTTTACACACCCATTGTGCTGTCTCTTGGCTTCAAAATATCATCACAAATGGTGTCACCGACAAAGGCAAAGATTCGCCCTATAGCCTGTAACAGACTGTTGGGGCAAATGCTCTTAGCGAGCACCTATGAAGGCCGGCACTGCACACGAGGGGTTGGGTGGCCAGCACCATACCCGGCCATCTTTTGTGTCCCCAATGGCGATGTTTACACACCGCACCAGGTTCTCATTGAGGCTGAGTCGACCTAGGGCAGGCCCAGGACCAGTTCAGATAATCGTCACCGGTGTTAGCCGTGAGCGTGAATCGAACTCGGGTCGCCGGGTTCGTAGCGCAGCGCGCTAACCGCTACACTACCGCTCCCTGCACAAAGACACGCACACAAACGCGCATTGACATGGCAGGATCTTCTGTGCTGTGCCGTGCTGAATTTTGCTGTGCGGCCTTACAGGCTGAAGGAGCTGGAGGGCCTGGCGAAGGTTCTGCGGTCGTACCGAGAGAGCGCCGTTTGGCTGGAGGCTTGGCTTGACAAGACCATGAAGCTACAGGAGAAGGTGCAGGCGAGCAAGATTGAGGACGTTCGGGGCCTGGAGGAGCAGCTGGAGAAGCAGAAGGTTGACGCGTTCCTGCGCCTTGATCATCATCTCTCTATCTCTTCCCGTCCAGCCCCTTTACAAAGGCCGCTGGCTCCACAAATTTCCGTCAGTAGCAGCAGCAGCAGTCTTACGCTTTTGTCGATCACATATATTCCGTCTGTTGCTGGTGTGTGCGTCATTACTCTCCGTTCTAGTGCCTCCTCCTTCTCCACTCCATTAGTCCATCATTACAAGCATAATAATCTACCATCATCATCAACAACAACAGCCGTGATCCATTCCTCGCTGGATGAAGGCCCTTCCCAAGCCATCGCCATCTCTCACAGCCTTGCGATGCAACAATCCGTCAAACACCTGCGCACTCGCTGATTTCATCGCTCCGTCTCCATGATGTATGGCCTCTCGGGCATGTTCCGTCCTTTGGCTACCAATCCATTGTTGGTCTTAGCCACTGGCAATGTCTCCTGCCCAAGCCCAGTCATTCTTAAGAGTAAACTTGACGTCTCCAACTTGCACATGCTCTCCGATTCCACGTGTGTACCTCTTTCCGTCTCTCTGCGATTCCAAGCGATGGCGCCCCTCCTCCTCCACGCTTGAATCAGAAATATTCTCTTCGTACACGCACGATACGACACATGTACCGCCAGCATAAGCATCGGGTTTTAATTAGCGAATCGTTACATCCCAGCGGGCAAAGTTAACGTTGGCGTTTGTTTCACTCACTGCAGGCTCTGGCGATGGACATCGAGAAAAATCAGGTCAAGGTGGACGAATGCCAGAAGTACTCGGAGCAGTACTCGCTGGCCGCCAAGGTAAACACGCTCAGTGTGACGCGCTTACTTAAAGCGTGTGCATTTGTTTAACTTGGTAACAAGCACTCCGCTCTTTGGAGCACTGTTGGTGTGTGCTCGTTATTTGAGATATTTGTGTGTACCAGGACAAACACATCAAGCGTTATTGTCTCGCCCAGGCCAAACGTTTTATTTTTATTTTGCACCATCGTCTGTTTGGGATATCGCTGCTGGTGCTAGGACTCTCGTTTAACTTGCCTGCGTCCACATTCCGTGTGCACGCTCCAGTCGCTGTCTTGTCCCTTCATCCGTTGCGTCCCTCTCCCATTGGCCTTTCATGTTGTTTCGTTCTCTATTATCCCCCACTCATTCCACTTTCCCTATTTTAGCCCTGATGATATCTTTTTAATTTCCCGTGTCGCTTTGAGAAACCGTGGCGTCTCAGCGATTTAATAAATCCACATCCCTAAGAGAGCGAGATGAAATAAGATGAAAGGCACACAGGGTAGCACATGACAGCGGTTAAGTCACATGCACAACGATTTGGTTGCAGTGAGAAACGAATGGGTTGAGGTCCTTGCGCACCATGCTCCTCTGTTAGCCACGCTTTCGGTAAAAAACGTTTCGGAGCTTGGCTTTTTCGGTTCTTGGCCCTCATGTTTGGAATGCTGTGCCTGATGAACTATGTCTAAACGCTAAGCTTCTCCCATTTCGAATTGTTACGGCTTTACATTTCCTGTACGGCGCTCTGAAGCCCCTTTGTTGGGTCTGCTGCGCCTAATAAAAACGTTAAATAATTATAGGTTGGGGGCACATTTGCACTCTTGACACTGAATGTCCTGATGAAGCTGCACCTTGTGCCCTAGGACTATGAGCTGCAGCTTATGACCTACAAGGCCATGGTGGACACACACCAGAGGTCGCCGGTGAAACGTCGCCGTCTACTCTCCACCAGCGACTCCATCATGCAGGAGGTCAGAGGTCAACGGGAGACACCCGTCGCACTCGACCGTCCGCTTGCGGGCCTGCCTTGTCTGTCGGTCGGAATACCGGCCCATAGGTTTTTGTATCGCACCGGCAGGATGGCCCATTGGCGTGTTTTTAAACTCGTGGCTCCACCGCGGCACTGTTAACGCAACAGAAGCCAGCCCCAATTATAAAGACTCTTCAAATTGTTGCGGCTTTACAATTTTGGAATGCTAATTAATTCGCAAAATGGTCAGGTACACAAGAACAAATAAAATCTCACAAATTAACTGATAAAATGGCGTGGTAAAAATTGTCAAGCTGGAAAAAACTATTGCAAGCCATTAATATCATGGATAACGGCTATTTGTTTAGGAGTTTAATTGGTGTATGTTATTTCAACATGTGAGAAAATAGAATTTCCAAACAATAAATTCATATTGGCGAGGATAATCAAGACTTCAGATTTTTTGCGGAACAGACAACACTGCTCATCGTATGATATACCGATGCATTGTATCGCGATGACACTGCTGCTGTACGGTGATCACATGGTGGGTGTTGGCGTTTTTGTGCATAATAGTACATGACCCTGCGGACCCGATACACGGCGCTGGTCACTATGACGAGCCAGTACGTGAAGTTCATCAGCGAGACACTCCAGCGTCTGCAGGGAGAGCAGGTGAGTGCTCATTGCACACACACACGGGTGCGCGCGTACTTACGGACACGAACACTCCCTACCACGCGCTACCCACACGCTCATCGTCTCGGGCCAATCAAAGCCTCGCATCTCTGGCTCATGGAGAATGCCAGGCAGAACGGGACACATTGTTTAAAGATTTGTTTTGAACTTTCCCCCAGTTTATCTATCGTCAACTCATGAGTTATGCATTTGCGATATTTAATTCCTTCAAACGGTTGGTCCAAAAGTTGGTGTGAACGTTTTAATGTTTTTGTTTTGATTAGCAGTTGGCGGGGGGGCGGGGGGGGAAGAGGTGGTGGTGGTATCTTACTTTTGCCATAACGTTGCGGGTTTTTTGTTCTTTTAAAGTGCATGTGCGTGCGTGATTGGTGTTGGGCTTGGTGACAGAGAATGCCGGAGCTTGATCGCGCCTGCTGCTTGTGGCACTAACGCTGCCTGATTGTGATGGACCGCGCTTTGGGTGTGGCGCGCTTGACCTCTGACCACGCAACATTGGGCACTTGGCAGTCAGAGGAACGTCTTTCGTTCAATTTGACTTTAATGTAAGCGCTTATGCAAATATGACTTTTCATGAATGTCGATGTTTTTTTTACGTAGCAAATAAGATTTTTTTGAATAATCGCTGAATACGCGCTGCAGTGAATTGAACGCAATCATCAGTATTTGCATGCGGGAAAGTGTTTTGAAGGTCAAAATAATGAGATGCCCTCTGGTCATTGTTACCGCCGGTTACTGGCATGATTTATCTCCTTCGTGATGAGCGAAGCCGGTTTTAATTATTTTTTTGTTTAATCTCCATCACACAAGGTCATGACATTCTTTACCCATCACTGCCAGGTTTATGTTGTTTTTGTTCGTTTATTTAAATGGATATGGCACTTCTGACATCTCCTTCTTGCTTTCTCATTTCATGACAAAAAAAATACCCCTTCCTTCTTCGTATCTTGATATAATTGAAGTGGGCACCGTAACAAACACAAAATATACGTGTGCATTTATGCGCTAGCCAACACGATACTGAAGGTAAAAGATAGAAGCGTAGGGATAGGGTTGTTGCTGCAATCAATTTACGATCATCTGACATAAACCAAAAGTGCATTTGAAACTCAAGTTTGTTACCTCTGTTATGAACCAGGTGAGGTTGCATCGAGTCTTCGACATACTTGCACCTTTTTTGCATCTTGATTTGAAATGTGACAAGGTGCATGTCCAGAAAATCCTGACAAGCTGAATTGTGCAATTATATTGAAGCGTTCATCTTTTTTGAAGGTTTCTGAGACAGGCATGGGAACGATTATAAATTGCTGTGCATACAGATGCATTGCAGGGCAGGGCAAGGACCTTGGCAGTTTGGCTTCGGACATGGCGCGAAAGCATTGTAGAGGTGATTAAGATGAGGAGGCTGTGATTGGTGGGGCACGTCGTGTGCAGTATAGATGAGGAGGCTGTGATTGGTGGGGCACGTCGTGTGCAGTATAGAGGAGGAGGGCTGTGATTGGTGGGGCACGTCGTGTGCAGTATAGAGGAGGAGGGCTGTGATTGGTGGGGCACGTCGTGTGCAGTATAGAGGAGGAGGGCTGTGATTGGTGGGGCACGTCGTGTGCAGTATAGAGGGGGAGGGCAAGTTACTGAGAGGCATTGGAGTGGCGTTGTGTTGCTCCCACCACAATGTGCCAGGAGTTTTTGTATATTTTTTTGGTTTCCTGATATTGTTCCATTCCTCTGTCTGGTGAAATCCAGCCGGGTGGCTCAGTTGTGAAAGAGCGCTTGGCCTCGTAGTTGCAGGGTTTCTGAATTCATATCCCATTTTTGTGGGGTTAAAAAAATAAATAGGAACTTGTACCTATGGATAGACACAATATGACAGTTTCACCGCTGGCTTAGGTCTGATGCGAGTTTGGTTAGCAATCTACATTGACATTTGACTATGGTCTGTGAAGACACATTTGATCAAAGTGTGACCAATACCTTTTGAAAATATATACATTTATAAAATACATGCACAGATATTTTTCAAAATATTTTGGGACCTGATGTCTTTCATGCCACTTTTTAAGTAATCGATTTCGTTTGCGACCCAGGTTTTTGTTTTACATTTCAGTTAAAAAAAACAGTAGCTTAAAATTGGACGCATTCTTAAGCGTGCAATTGGTTAATAAGTTCGATATTTTTTTCTGGCGTGCACTGGGAGGTGATTACTTTTTGATGAGCATTGGAAAGGGTCATTAGTGCCAGCGTGTACGAAAGGTCAATTTGTTCTGACCTTTTGAAAAATATCACAAGTCGCACACTCGCGTATTATTTTAAAGCTTTGATGCTGGAAACAGCCAACTGTGCTCTTGAAAAATTATTTAAAAATAAATAGATGGAGTAATTACTAACAAGAATAAGCAGCTTGGTTTTCTGAACCTTTTTCAGTGTTTTCGCAGTTTAGTTTCGCTTCTCCTAAGGAGTGATACCCGAAATACACCATATAATAAAATTGCATTCAGCAAAATGAATATAAATTTAACTGTGTACTCAGTTAAATTTATCAATCAAGAAAATGGCACAAACCAGTAAGAACATGCGGCCAATGTACTCAACCCTAAAACATATCTCGATATTTCTACTATAAAATTTACCTGTCCTTTTTAGTTTTCAAATGTGCCTTTTTTTTTTACTCTCGACTCCTCTCGAAATCTGCCTGCGCTCTCTGCGAGTGATAAATCGAGTTTGCGTGCCGCCTGTGTGTGCTTGTAACATTCCTCTCGGCGCAAAGACAAAGCGAGCGACACTGTGGTAACAATAAACGCACGCCCGCCAGGGCCTCAATACTCTGTCCCTGTGTCCTCTTTTGTCAGGGTTCTGGGGCTGTGTGGATGCACTCTGCGCAGCCGGTGGAATTCGTTCTTCCTCTCCGTTAACCGTCTTGGGGGGGGTGAAAAAAATCGATGCATGGAATTCTCGTTTTGTTCTTCATTTTCTCAAAGGGACGATGCTTCTTTTTAAACACCTTCCGTGTATCAATCCCGCTGCTGCGTTTTCGCGAACTCTCCGTTAGACACTTTTACCGTACTTACAAAAAAAAAACACACGCATGACAGGCAAGTGTTAGAATGAGTTTAATAATGGCATGTATCTACTCAGAAAAAGCTAATGGAATATCAAGGCTCTTTTTCATAAAAGTGCTACATTGGGATGATTGGTTAACACCTAGTTTAGCTTTAAGCTGAGATGCGTTCCAAGGATATTCATTCTGATTTGATTTTAGGCCAAATCACGGGAGTCAATTACACGCAATGCTCATTATTAAACGAACATGAGGAACTAATTTATATATTATTGAGCCCCTTAGGCTGCCTTTATAAATGACATTCAAATGGATGATCACTTAATGGGGTTCAGATAGATGTAGCTACAATTAAACTCTGTGGAAATGTCATCACAAAATGCTCCTCTTCGGTATGTCGAAGATACTTCACCTATTCTTCAAAGAGCTTGCGTGTCTGTCGAGCCTGCTGGTGTCAATCAAAGGCCTTCTGCTGTTTGTGTGTTGCTGCCTCCTCAAGATTCAGCCTAAAACTTTTCCTTCGGATACTTCCTGCAGTGTTCTCTCAGCTGTCACTTCAAACTGCTGTCTTCCTAAAGCAAGTGCCATATCGGTTTTGAATGGGGAAAAAAAGTAAACTATGAAAACAACAAAACAAAAATGACAATAAAACACTGGAAGGGGTGAAACAATCTCTAACACAGTAAAAAAAAAGCATGAAATGTCCTTGTTGTGATGTTTGGGTTTGCCAATAACACGCTAAATCATATTAATGAATGCTACCCTAAATTGAGTGGACCTTGGATGCTTTTGTAACCTTCGATGCCTGGCATTTGTTGTGGCTTCAGTTTATGACCTCAAAACACGAACCCGGTGATATACTCAAGGCTTTATTGCAGAAAATGAGGGCGCGCAATGCATCAACGTCGCTCACCGTGTGAAATATCTCATGCCACTCCATGTACATAGAGGCAAGCAAAACAGCTGAGCCAGCAGCCGCAGCAACAGCAACAGCTGCAGCAGCAACACAGCGAAGCCCAGGATGCCCTCCGACGCCTTGCTGACATTCAAGACGAACTGGAGCGCCAGCGCCAAATCTCGGAGAACTACGCACGTGGCAAGGCCCAGGCAGAAGAGGAGGCAGACCGCCTTAGGCAGCAGATCCATTACGACGCCAGCAAGCGGCGGTCCTACGCAGAGGCCACATCATCCCAGAAGGAGGCCCTGGACCAGCAGGTGGTGGAACTGCGGCAGAACTCGAATGCTGAGGTTCGCCGGCAGGCTGCCCTGGTAAATGATGCCGTGAGCCAGAGGAAGCAGGTCGAGGAGGAGATCCTCATAATCCGCATGGAGCTTGAGAGGGCCTCTCGTCGTAAGGATGAAGCGGAGGATGAACTGGATGCCCTCCGAGCCAGAGCAGAGGAGGCCGAGAGACGGCGGAAGGCCGCTGAGCAAGAGACTGCCAAATACCGTCAGCTGGCCGAGACAGAGGCTCGGCGCAAGGAGGAGGCCGAGGCGGAGCTCAAGAAAAAAATAGCAGCCGAACAAGAGGCTGCAAATCAGAAGAGAGCAGCCCTCGCTGAGGTAGAGAGACTCAAGAAGATCGCTGAGGAGGCCCAGAATAGAAAGCAGCAAGCGGAAGAGGAGGCAAAGAAGCAAATCGCTGTTGCTCAGGAGGCGTTCCAGAAGAGTGCAGAGGCTGAGATCCAGGCCCAGAAGGCCACCTTTGTGGAGCTGCAACAAATGCAGCAGGAGGAACAGACAATGATTGTGGACTTGAAGAGGGAGGCAATGCTACGCAAGAAGGTTGCAGACGACGCAGAAAGGGCCCAGGCGACCGCCAAGGCTGAGCTCGAGATGTGGATGCAAAAAGCACAGGAGGCCTTGGAGCAGAAAAATAAGGCCGAGGAATTGGCCCGAGAAAAAAGCCAGGCTCAGCAGGAAGCCGAGAAACAAAAAGCAGCTGCTGAGCGTGAGGCTAAAGCCCGGGGTGAAGCCCAGCATCTGGCGCAGAAGCAGAAATCGCAGGCTGAGGACGAGCTGGGTAAACAGCTCAAGCTTTCCGAGAAGACGACGCAGCAGAAGCAACAGGCAGAACAGGAGGTGAAGAGACTGCTCATACTCATGCAAGACTCGGAGCAGCAGAAGTCGCTGCTCGAAGACGAACTTCAGAGGCTTAAGGCCGAGGTGGCTGAAGCGATAAGGCAGAAGACCTTGCTGGAGGAGGAGCTGGCCAAAGTCCGATCACAGATGGACGAACTCATTAAGCTTCGGTTCAAAGTAGAAGAGGAGAACCAGCTGAAGGCAAATGCTGAAAAAGAGAAGACTGAGAAGATTCTTGAGGAAGAAGCCGCCAAGATGAAGCAGCTTGCAGAAGAGGCGGCTCGTCTCAAGAAGCTGGCTGACGAGGCCATGCAGCATCGGCGAATAATGGAAGAAGAGACTTCCCGGCAGCGTGCGGAGGCAGAGAAGGCGCATAAAGAAAAATTGCTCATCATTCAGCAGGCCAGCCAACTTAAGGATGATGCAGAGAGAGTGCTGCAAGAACAAGCGGAGGAGAACGAGCGGCTGAGACACCTGGCAGAAGAGGAAGCCAAGCAAAGGAAGCTCCTTGAAGAGCAAGCTGCACAGCAGAAACAAGCTATTGAGGTGGAGATGGCCGAAATCCAGAAGCACTCAGAGCTGGAGATTCAGAGGCAAAAGCTCTTGGTCGAAGAGACTATTTTTCAGAGACGACAAATTGAGGAGGAAATCCATATCATCAGGGTGAATTTTGAAAATGCCTCCAAGGGAAAGGCAGATCTGGAAAAGCAGCTGCAAAAACTTCAAGTGGCAACGGAGGAGACAACTCGCCTGAAAGAGAAAGCAGAAGGGGAGGCCGCACAACTGAAGAAGCTTGCTCAGGAAGAAGCCATGAAGAAAAAAGAGGCAGAGCAAGTCGTTCAGAAACAAGTTCAAGCTGAAAAGCTTGCTGCAAGTCAGTTCCAGGTTGCTCAGGAAGAGCTGGAGCAACTGAAAAAAAAAGCAGAGGAAGCGCTTGCGCTGAAACAGAAGGCAGAGGATGAGGCAGCCAAAAGAGTTAAACTAGCAGAGGATGCTGCACAGAAACGTCTGGCAGCAGAGGAGAAGGCCCGCCTCGCCGCACTGGCTGAGAAGGACGCAGAGTTCAACAAGGTTCGGCAGCAGGACGAGGAGATGTTGACCAAACTCAGGGATGAGGCAGAGTTGGCACGGAAGGCCGCAGAAGAAGCAGATCAGGCGAGACTGGCCGCCGAGCAAGAGGCAAATAACCTGCGAAAGCAAGCGGAGCAGGTGTTCCTGCTGCAGTCTCAGGCGGAGGAAGATGCGCAGCTAAAAGCCCTTTTGCAGGGGGAGGCCGAGAGGCTGAGGAAAGAGGCAGAGAACGAAGCCGCAATGAGAGCTCGTGCCGAGCAAGAGGCCCTGAACTTGAAGCAACTCGCCGAAGAGGAGTTTGAGCGACAGAGGCTGCTGGCGGAAAATATAATGCATCAGAAGGAAACGGCAGAAAACGAACTTGCAAAAATGCGACATTTGCTTAAAAAAACACAGAAGCAAAAAGGTCTGCTTGAAGACGAACTCAATCGACTGAAAGCCCAAGTAATGGAAGCTATTCAGCAAAAAAGCTTGGTGGAAGATGAACTGGCTGAGGTGAAGGCCCAAATGGAAGATCTCCTGAGGCTTAAAGGCAAGACTGAAGAGGAAAACCGGCAGAGAGCCGCAGCAGAGTCTCAGAACATTCAGAAGATCTTAGAGGAAGAGGCCACAAAGATGAAAAGCCTTGCTGAGGAAGCCTCTAAGCTGCGTGCAAAGAGTGAGGAAACTGCCAAATTGCGGCAACAGGCGGAGGAGGAGCTGGCCAAACAGAAGGCCCTCGCTGATTGTCTCGCACAAGAGAAAATGCAGGCAGTGGAAGAAGCCAACAAACTTCGCGCAGACGCTGAAGTGGAAGCTGAACAACGTAGACTTCTTGAGGAGCAGTCGGCCCAGCAGAAAAGGGCGATCGAGGAAGAGATGGCAAAAATCCAGAAGCAGTCTGAAATTGAACTCCATCGCCACAAAATAATGGTCGAGGAGACTATATTGAATCGCCGTCAGATTGAGGAAGAAATACGGATAATCAGATTGGAGTTTGAAAATGCGTCTAGAGGTAAACAAGAGCTTGAAGCACAGTTGCAGGTAATTGTAAAGGAGGCGGAAGAAACAGCACAACTTAAGAAAAAAGCTGAAGATGAAGTAGCCCAATTGAAGATGGTGGCTCACGAGGAAGCCGTGAAGAAGAAAGAGGCAGATGAGGTCGTTCATCAGAAATTTGAGGCTGAAAAGCTTGCAACGAGTCAGTTCCAGGCTGCTCAGGAAGAGCTGGAACGTCTCAAGAAAAAAGCGGAGGAAGCTCTCGCCCTGAAGCAGAAAGCGGAGAGTGAAGCCACTAACCAGGTCAGGCTCGCAGAGGAGGCTGCGCAAAAACGTCTGGCGGCAGAGGAGAAGTCCCGCCTTGCCGCACTGGCTGAGAAGGACGCAGAGTTCAACAAGGTTCGGCAGCAGGACGAGGAGATGTTGACCAAACTCAGGGATGAGGCGGAGTTGGCACAGAAGGCCGCAGAAGAAGCAGACCAGGCGAGACTGGCTGCTGAGCAAGAGGCAAATAACCTGCGAAAGCAAGCGGAGCAGGTGTTCCTGCTGCAGTCTCAGGCGGAGGAAGATGCGCAGCTAAAAGCCCTTTTGCAGGGGGAGGCCGAGAGGCTGAGGAAAGAGGCAGAGAATGAGGCCGCAAAGAGAGCTCGTGCCGAGCAAGAGGCCCTGAACTTGAAGCAACTCGCCGAAGAGGAGTTTGAGCGACAGAGGCTGCAGGTGGAAAAAACATTACAACAAAAAGCAGAGGTGGAAAAGGAGTTCAACAACATGCGTGCACTCCTGCAAAAAACCGAGCATCAAAAATCTCTCCTGGAGGATGAACTGAACCGACTCAAACTCGAAGTTGCAGAGACAACCAGACAGAAACAATTGGTGGAGGAGGAACTTGCATTACTCAAAGCCCAAATGGAGGAGCTCCTCAGGCAAAAAAACCAGGCTGAGGAAATGAACAGATTGCATGCACTGTCTGACTCGCACAACATGCAAAAGGTCTTGGAGGATGAAGCACAGAAGATGACACTTCTTGCCGAAGAGGCCACTCGCCTTCGATCAAAGGCAGAGGAGTCCACGAACTTGCGGCAGCAGGCCGAAGCTGAGCTGGTGAAACAGAGGGCCCTGGCGGAACAGCTGGCCCAGGAAAAGAAGCAAGCCATCGCCGAGTTCAACCGACTTCAGTCCGAATCGAGCAAGGAGGCTCAGAAGCTTGTCAAAGATCGCCAAAAGATTGAGCAGCAGCTGGAGAGCAAGACCCAGGCCTTTCAGCGGACCTTGGACGAGGAGCGGCGCAGGCAGCAGGAGGCGTCGTCCGAGGCGGACCGTCTAAGGCAACACATCGAAGAGCTGACCAAGGAACGAGCACAGGCCCAGGAAGAGGCCATTCGAGAGAAGGCCCAGGCAGAGGAAATTAGTCGGCAGAGGCTCGAGGCAGAGAAGCAGGTTCTCCTGAAGGTGAAGCAGCTGCAGGAAACGGAGGTGGACAGCAGAAGCGAGAAGGAGCTGAAGATGGAGAGTGAGGTGGTCAAACTGAGGTGCTTCATCGTCACACTGGAGCAAGAGAAGGAGAGGCTGAGACAGGAGGCGGAAAAGTTTCATATTCAAGCTACGCAGGTATTGAGCATTCATTAATCATTCAATTAAAGGTAGTTTTTAAAAAAGTGTATAAATGTAATACCATATAGAGTTTAAAAAGCTGCAGGGTCTTTTCTTCTGAAAGCAAAACACACTTTGGCTTTTTCTGGGTTCTTAAAACCTGAACGTCAGTAAACGCAGATAAAAGCTCTGGGAAGTTACCATGCTGTAATGGGCATCACACTGCACTATCGACGGAGCAGTTGAAACAGTTAGCAAGTTTCTTAAATCCCTCCCGCTGTCTGGTCGGCAGTATAGATGGATATAGTCAATTGGCAGGTCACTTGTGTGGTGCGGCAAAGCATCGATACTGCCACCTTTTCCAAAACGTCTGGCCAGTGTAGAAGATTTAGCCAAAATTACAGAACCCACTTTAGATCTCCCACGAGCGAAAGCCCTTCTGCCAGCAGTAGCATGAGAAAGTATTTTCAGGGCTGCACCTTTACCTTTTGAGGAAATCTCAGTTATCTTCGTGATAATAAATTCAGCAGCTAAAGGATAGTATTTTCACAGTGTTTAAATTATAAACCGATTGTATTTATTGATTAAAAACACTTTTTGCATGTTTTTTTTATATGCTCGCACATAAATAAGATTTATATATTTATTTAAGTGGTGCTGTTTGATTAACAGTCACTTTCTTTGTAGGTGGCTCCACAAGAGACCACTACACACCCCAAGGAAGTCGTGATTTTTCAGAGGGAGTTTCTTCAAGACAGCGCCTCTCAAATGGATGAGAACGAAGCCCTCTTGTTGAAGCAGAAGTTTCTGGATGAGGAGAAGGCCCGGCTCCAGAAGATGTATGAAGAGGAGCTCAGGAAAACTAAAGCTCAGCTGGAGGCCGAGGCCAAAATCCGCCACCAGCAAGAAGAAGAAAATGTCCAGCTGAGACTTCAGATGCAGGAAGCTCTGCAGCAGCAGCAACGTGAGCCTCCTATGTATCAGCTGCAGCAGCAGAGCAGTCCTGGCTTCGGAAGGGAAGTCATTGACATGCTGGAGCAACAAAGAATGCAAGCAGAGGCGGACAAGCTGCTTGCTGAACAGGAGAAGGACGAGCTTCTGAGAAAGCTCAGGGAGCTTGAGGAAAACCATCAGAGGGTGGAGCATGAAAGGAAGCTTGAGATGGAGCGGCTTGACCAGAGAACAAAACTCGAGCTGCAGAAGCTGGAGGAGCAACGGAGGGTCGACCTCCAACAGATGGAGGAACGCAAGAGAATTGAGTTTCAGGAGATTGAGGAGCTCAAGAGAGTGGAACTCCAGAAGATTGAGAAGCAGAGATTGTTGTTGCAAATGGAGGAAGAACGAAGGCGGCTTGAGCTTGAGCAGCAAAAATTGCAAGTGCAGAACGTGGGTGGACAGAACCATAGCAATGGTGGGCTAGAGTTGAGCGTTTCTACTAGTGTTGCTGCAAATGCCCCCAGCATCACAGTAACCGATTACAATGCTGCTGCTGCCCCAGAGACAGAAATAACATACACTTACACGATTGAAGATGCCAAAAAAGCTCTGGAGGATGAGATAGTAGAGATCCCAGTGGGAGATATGGCCGGGAAAAAGATGACCGTTTGGGAGGTCCTTTACGATACCAACTTTATTGGCGATGAGAAACGGAATGAACTGATTGTACAGTACCGCACTGGAAAGATCACCATCAAGCGCATCATCATAATAATCATCGAAATCATTCAAGACAGGGAGCTCATTCGCACAGGGAAGAAGGAGGTCACCTTCAAGGGCCTGCGTCGCCAGGTCACCCTGAGCGAGCTACTCAATTCCAACATATTGACTGCGGAGATGGCAAAGCAGCTCAGGGAGGGATCGAGATCAATAGACGAGGTCTCAGGCACTATCCGAGGGTATCTTGAAGGTACAAGCGGCATTGCCGGTTTGTACATCGAAGCGACAAGGGAGAAGCTTCCATTGTACAGTGGCATAAAGCGGGGATTCTTACGGCCTGGCACAGGACTAGTGTTGATGGAGTCGCAGGCAGCAACAGGATATATGATTGATCCTGTGAATAACATAAAGATGTCTGTCGATGAGGCAGTGAAAAGGCGCCTGGTCGGTCCAGAATACCTCGACAAACTTCTCTCTGCAGAGCGTGCTGTGACCGGTTACATTGATAAGTTTTCTGGTGAAGTCATGTCTCTCTTCCAAGCCATGAAGAAAGGGCTGATAATCAAGGAGCACGGCATCCGCCTTTTAGAGGCGCAGATCGCCACGGGAGGCATCATTGACCCGCAGGCCAGCCACCGTATTCCCGTGGAGATGGCCTACACGCGAGGGCTCTTTGATGAGGAAATGAACCAAATTTTGCTCGATCCCAGTGACGACACCAAGGGATTCTTCGACCCAAACACTGAAGAAAATCTCTCTTACTTGGACCTGTTTCAGCGCTGCATCAAAGACCCCGCCACGGGGCTTTCTCTTCTACCAATCAAGGAGAAGAAAAAAGAGCGGAAGATGTCCTCCAAATCGTCTGTGAGGAAGCGCAAAGTTGTCATCGTTGACCCAGACACCAACGAAGAGTTAACAGTTTACGAAGCTTACAAGAGGAAGCTGATTGACCATCAGACCTACATCCAGCTGTCCGAGCAAGAGTGCGAATGGGAGGAGATCACAACCACAACCGGCGATGGTGTTGTGTCCTCCATTTTGGTGGACCGACGCACAGGCCACAATTTCAGCATTGAGGAGGCCTTGAAGAAGGGAGTGATTACGCAGAGCACCATGACGCAGTATCGTTCGGGAAAGCTCGCAATCACAGAGCTCGCTGACCTCTTGTCTGGAAAGTTGACCTCGAGCAGCAGCACAGACTATCACTCCAGAATGACCACCCTCAGCACCAGCAGCAGCAGTTCCATTATACCAGGCAGCCCAATGCTTAGCCCAGATCCCAGCCGGGTTCTAGGCATGTGGAACGATCCTGTTGAGGAGACACAGCCAGTAGGCGGAATCTTGGATAACCAAAAGCTTGAAAAAATCTCCATCTACGAAGCTTTGCAGCGCAAGCTGGTGGACAATTTCACTGCCCAGAGGCTACTGGAGATTCAAGCATGCACAGGAGGTATCATCGACCCAACGACTGGGAGGCGATACAACTTAAGGGATGCCGTCACATACGGCCTTCTGGACAATCGTTTAATTCAGATGGTGTCCGTTGCCGAGAAGGCCTTCACTGGCTACGAAGACCCCATTACAAAGATGAAGGTGCCAATCATGGTGGCAATGAAGAAAGGGCTGATCACCTATGAGTCGGGCCGCCGTTTCCTGGAGGCTCAGTACCTTACGGGTGGCATCGTGGACCCAGGCACTGGGCAGCGCATAACCCTGGAAGACAGCGTCAACTGGGGCCTGGTGGATCTCGTTCTGGTGCAGAAACTCCGCGACATCCATTCGCACTTCAAGTACCTCACGTGCCCAAAGAGCCGCACACGCATGTCCTACAAGGAGGCAATGGACCGGTGCATGGTGGATTCGGAGAATGGAGTCCGGCTGTTGGAGGCCAGCGGCGTCATTGGCATCAGCGGAGGCTTGGGCTCCGCATACGGCTCGCAATCAGGCTCGCGTTCGGGCTCCAGGCCCGGCTCGCGAAGGGGAAGTTTCGATGCGGGCGTGGGCCAGGGCCTCATGGGGTTCGGATCTCCAATGAGTTTTTCGTCTGGCAATGCTTCTGGGTACACGTCATACTCGTACTCGCGTCGTTACTAGGCCTCACTTCGGCCATCTCTCGCCTTGTGTCACTACAGACTGTGTGGTTGTTTGTTCACTGAAATTTGGCTTAAAAGAGGTGCGTAAAGCGAGCAGTGTAATGACCCAGAAAAAAAAGTGTGTTTTTTTGTAAACGACTGGTATATTTTTAATGATGGGATTTCAATGTACGCTTTAGCACAGATATAAGGTTACATAAAGGAACACCAGCACTGTGGTTTGTCTAATGACATCAAGTACGGTAATAACTTTATACGAAAGGTGCTTTCACATGGCTTACATCCTACCAATGCCAAAGCTGAATACCAAAGTAAAATACAGTTAAATACGAATATCAATTTATCCCAAAGGAAAAAAAGTGTTTTATATTTAGCAATACTCTATAGATATAGTGTAGTGAGCTCCATTTGAGGCTAACCAGCAAATGTAGTTGAACAATCTGTAGTAATTTAGTACGTACAGTAATTTTAACATGACATGAAACTTTGATTGCCAAAATGATTACTGCAGTGTTACTCAGAGATATAGACAATTACAAGAAGAGTACAGCGATTTATTATTGGAAATGTGTCATAACTATACTTGTAACTAAATCACTTGGCAATAAGTGCCAGTTACTGTATACTCTACTAAAGTATCGTGGTGCAAAGCAAGAGCGAAAACGGATATATGGTCCTGTACTGTATTTGCTCACACTAAAACGTTACCTTTATTTACGTACTGTTTTCAATAGTTTTATTTTAATGTGTGCTATATGCATATTGTAGGGCTGACTAAAACAATTTATCTTCAGAAGACACTCTTCAACTAATATGCACTTGTTGCAAAAATAGCAATTAATTGTGGAATTTTATTTAAAGATTTGTTTTGCTGAGTGACTATCGTGTATTTTAATTCCTCCACTAGGCCCCGAGCATGTTGTTGCAGTGCACTGTTCTCAATGGCGATTTCATGGATGAATATTTGTCATATCAAGGTGGCACTGTGGCGCAGTGGTAGTGATTGTAGTCGTGGCAGTTGGCAATGGAACAGAAGAGCCACTGCCAAGTACAGTAATGACATTTGCCTCCATTTTTCATGTTGGGAATTGGTAAAAAGCCACAAAACACTACACCGTACTCTCGCTTGAAATTGCAACTTAAAAGTCTGATGATACACTGACAGTAATTAAATTAATCTATTAAACGTAGGACGAGAGACTCAGTGGAAATGGTTGGGAATATGATTTGTCCTTATGTTAGAATGTTGCAGACGGACAAAGCGTGTGGCTGAAGTTTAAGTGATTTTCCCCAATGCTGAAATAATCTGTAAAGTTAGTCAGATTATTTAGTGAAACTGACTTGGCAGTGGTGCGCAAACACAAACAACAAACGTTTAAACACATTCGTCAATAACGCTGTGGCCTTTAAAGGAAAAGTATTATAGGTGATGTTACTTTGGCTATTGTATGTTTCTCCTTTTAAAGCTGCAGTGTTATTGACAACTGTGTTAAGTTTATTGTAAATTTGGTGGCCTCCTAGTGGTTGCAGGGGTCAAGTGAACAGATTTATATACGCCATGATATATATAATGGGGATCCTTTATAGGCATAATCCATTATAAAATCATTATAATTGGACATTTGAAATGTGGTTAAATTTTGGAGTTTTATAAAAGATTAATTGTGTGCCAAAAAACTGAAAGGTTTGAGGGATCTTAATCCGCATATAGCAGAATTGTTGTAAACAATCACAGCTGGGATGTTCTTGAACGCTTGGGACTTTCTCAAATCTCGATACAATGTGTCTTCAATACCATGACGAACATGCAGAGGTTTTTACGGTAAAGTTGGCACATCTGGGGTACAGAAAGCCAGGACATATGGGAAGAAGAATATATTTGACAAAACTGGAAGAGGGGAGAACTACAACTATAAGCATTGTCTTAAAGTTGTGTATTGTAAGCGCAGACTGACAAAAACCTTCGGGCTTTTAATGAAATCTTGCAGATTTCCCAGGACCAGCTACCTCAAAGATTGGATAATCCGGGGAAAGCCAGGCTAAGATGGGAACCCTCCTGCCAAGTGTGCCTTTAGTTTCACAGACATATCTCAACCTGTCGTCCACTTATAAGTGATTTAATTACACATGATACTACCACAGAGACCCTGTAAATTCACAGCTCTTTGCCTATCAAGTGCTGGATGGAGGCCTCCCCATGGTGCAAAGCCATCAGGGTTTTTTTCACCATACTTCACCACATTAGTCAGTGTGGGCTTGCTGCGTGTGGTGGTGCAGGAACGGTTCAGATATCACTTGCCCATGACCGGGAATTGTACTCGAGTCGCTGGGTCTTTGGCACTGTGCACTAATCACAGCACTCTATATTAACATTGATTCTTACACGTGTGACCCAGTGCATGTAGCACGAGCTTACGAATCGATATTAGAATCATTGAATTTGTGCATCATTACGTCTCGACTGATGGGACCCACTTGGGAGTCGCCTAATTCACCCCTGCTCCCTCGGTCCTCTTGGTCTATAAAGTTACAAATCACCGGTGTGTAAATGCTGAAAGCCATCAGTGCCTAATCATATATTTGTTTTGCCTTAAATCTTATGAAAACTCCAGGCTTAATATTACTTTGAGATTACTTGCTGTATAGTTTACAAATGCATGCTGCTTAAATATATCTCGGTGGTCTATAATGATACTCGTAATACAGTAATACACTGTTTTATGTTTTTATTTTTTAAAATAAATATAATTTTCAGTATTTACCACTACAAGGGAAAAGGGGATCTTTGTGAGGAGGATCTTAAAAACACTTTGTTGAGTGTTATATCAAATGGGACACGCTTGAGAGATGATTGGAAACGAATCCACGGATGATGTTGGAATATTTACTGATAAATTTTCGTGGCTGTGCTGTATGGCTCTCTGACATGTTTTCGGGTTGTTCCGCGCGTTGTATACCACGGTATCTGACGTTTCCTGAAGAAGCTGCCAATACGTTGGGGGCAAAACGTCGGACATCGTGCCGAACAGCACGTGGTACGACCCGAAAACAGAGTTCAGGGAGATCAATATCACACGGTCAGGAATAAAGTTACACATTAAATCATAGTTCTTACTTTTTTAAAGCATATTCATTAGTCGATAGACAAACATTTTTATTACTCAGCCATATAAATATGGCTAAATAGAACAAGTGTGCATGGTACAGCTACGAGAGTACACTTTGCATGTTTACGCACCTTCCTATAGAAGCTTATGTTACTTTGCAAATGCTGTTGCGCTGCTTTTTTTAAATGATTTATTTTTGTTTGATCATTTATATTGGTGCCTGTTAATTGTAACCGCATTACTAGTGTGCGAAAACAAATTAGCACATTACAAGTGAAATGCAAATGGTAAAACTGGCATAGAGGAAGTAGATGTCACGATACAAATTGATTTGGTGCTGGGCAATTATTCAGTCATGAACATGTTATGAAATCATGTTCATAACATATCAGAGCACACTCCACTTGGAGTGGGTAAAAGCATATATAACCAGACTTTCCGTATAAATAATGCAAAAAACTACGTATTAAACCTTCTGGGTATCATCAGCAGTAAGACTTATTCAATAAATGGTCCACACTTTTCTTGCTTCAACAAATGCGGCTTGATAATATTGGTCTGGAAAGCCAATAGGGATATGGCCAAAGTATAGATGTTTTTGTGGTGACACAGAATGGAGTTCTGCTAATACATGCGTTTACCCATAATACTTCATGGCAACGCATACGTTCTGTTTTGAAAAGATACCATTAGTTGGTATACATTTACAGTACAATATTTCCCTCAACTAGCATAGCCAAGTGTTCCATTAATTCTGAACAAAGATAGTGATACCTAACATCGGGATGGTTCCACATTGGCTTTAAAAGAAAATCTTGTTGCATACGAGCATGGTTTGAAGGAAGGCTCAACCCAAAGCCAAATAGTTCTCAACTCATAAGTTTCGAATTATTCATCCACTTTTAAGTGCCGCACGACTGCGCTGTAGTCAGTCGCCTCCTTTATCACTCTTATATTGCTGCTACTGTCACTATTCCCATGATTCCATGAACTTCACTCGGATTCATCTTCTTTGGTTCTTTCGGTAAAGTCACGTAGAATGAGAATTAAATAATAAATTGCTGTCCTCCAGACAGTCTCGTCCCTTCACCTGATGAAGGCCGCTTGTGTTGTGACCGAAACGTCGTGAGAATTTTATTGTGTTATTTTATTTAATCAATTTATTGTTTTATTCTCATTCTACGTGACTTTACCGAAAGAACCAAAGAAGATGAATCCTTGCAGTCACGTAAGCTTTAAATCGAAATTCACTCGGATTCTTCTACCTGTGTTTAGTTACCCGGCCTACTAGACTCACTGTTTTGGATCACCCACACAGTTCAACCACTATACTGCAGGCCACAACACTTATCTTTTCTGCTTCTTTCCTCGCACTGCTCAACTTCGGAATTCTCTCCCACATCGTCTCTTTCGCCGAAAGCGTGTGTATGGCCTTCCGCGATTCAACAAACGTATGAGCCAATGTCCATTTACACCTTCAATAGTGCAGTCTGTTGCTGGCCGCTTGGTATTTTGAGGCCTTTTGATCTGTGCCCGGCAACTGCGATTTAAAAAAAAAAAGTGATATTACCGTGGATGTGATGTGCAGTGCCTTCTGGGAGCCGGAATTTCAAATAAATCGCAGTGCAGCAGTGAGTGCATACCTATGTTTGATCAATTGGAAATTAACATGTGTTGATAACTTGAGTCACAATGGCTGATTTGAGAAGTGTTATCGGCAATTATTCTAAACGAAGCAGAAACGTTTTAAACCGGCACATTACTCTGGGTGGATGGGGTTTTTTTTCGTAATGAAATATAAATGACACCTGATCGCATTTTGGATTGCGTCTTCCTTTTGTAGATAGGGGGTCGTCGGCCACAGGGTCTCGTGATGGTACTCCAAACGTTT